GAGCCCTTGCTGCCCTGTCCTGGCAGTGGAGTCAGCCCAGCAATGCTGACCTGCAGCTTTTTACTCCAGTCCTCTGGGGCCAGGGCCATCAAGGGACTGGTGCATTACACTGCACTGCGAGTGGCAGCATCACCAGTCTGGCCAGGACACTACACTGGGACCAGGACCAGCACCATCAACACTGGCTGGGACAATGCACCACTAGGATCAGAACCATCTCACATCCATTCAGAGCCAGGTCTTGCCCTGCCAGGGCTGGGAACAAAACCCAGCAGCTCACAGCTGGGTGCAGCACCCAAAAAAAGCATGCAGCCTGTCCCTGAATGGTGTGCCTGTCCCTGGGCACTTTCCCTGTTCTACATCTGAGGGGTACATCTGTGCCCCTGCTCCAGAGAGGTGCCTTTCTCCCTGCTCCAGCTCACTGCGAATCACATTGTACTTGAAGAACAGATAAGCACGTGGCTCCTACAGAGCTGTGCAATACTTATGGCTGTGCCTTCTTGTTCCCTTTTCACTGCAAATCATCCATATTCATGCCTCTGTCCCAAAGTGTGGATGAGCACTGTTCTGTGCCTTATACACCTTCACAAAACACACTGCAAGGGACACTGCTGCCAGGCCCTCCCTGCAACACACTGGTGCCTTCTTCCTGTCCCCATCAGAGTGTCCCTGTCAGATCCAACCTGGTATTGATCCATAGATGGAGGTTCTCATTTGTCTTGTGAGTGGGATGTCACACCAGCTTCCACAGGGCTGCTGTGCTCCCCCATCCCTTGTGGGACATACCTCCCTGCCAAGATTTTCCCCCCAACCAAAGCAGTCCCTTGGGGCCAGGGTGATAAAGAGGAGATTTGTTGTGACAAGACAGACATGCTTGTGCCAAGACAGACCCAGCACAACCCTGGCCACCCCCAGCCACTCAGTTCAGGGAGAAAAGGGCTACCAGGCCCCCACAATGTTCCTCCACTGGCTGGAGCCCCCTACATTGAGGACTTGCTCTGTGGAAACATTCCACAGAGACTCTAGGGAATCTCTAGCCCTGTAGGAGCTCATCCTGCAGTCCCAGGGGTTAAGACACCTGCAGGTGCACCTCATTCCAAGGTTCCTGTTACTTCAGGTATATGATTGAGAGATGATTGGCAGTTGCCATGTGGGCTCTCTGTGCTGCAGGTCAAGACTCCACCACTTGTATTCTCAAGCACTGGTTCACTGAGTTGGAGAGGCAAAGGAAGTGGGCAAACCAAAATTAGGTGAGGGAGATGGTTTTCCCCAGGAGATTGTCTTTACTTCTCAGTATCCTTCAGATCTCTCTTTCACAGTGCTGCTGGAGCACCAAGCACAGACCCAGCAGTAAATTGCATTGAGCAATGGTACAAACTGGAGGGAATGGAAGGATTAGATGCTGGAGCCTTGGTCCATCCTCAGGCTGGGCAACCCCAAGTGCTGCTTAAGGGGAGATGTGGAGATTCAGCAACAACTTTCTGGAACAAAGCACATAGCAAACCCAGTGTGGGCTGCTGATGCAGGAGAGGAGCCAAACTGGGGGGGAAGTTCTGTGTTGATGGATGGCAGCAGCAGCACTGAATCCCCTTGGTTTGAAATCCAGCCTTGAGCAGAAAACTCTTGAGAATGGGACAGCTGATTGCCTCACCTGTACAAAAGCAGTCTAGTTATCTGGATATTATTAAGTATTGTTTTTCTCCCTTATCACTCATTGGGCATTTATTACACATTCATAAATGGAAGTGCAGCAGATCTACATTTTTCACACAGATTTGACCTTTGTTTCAGGTGCGACCACATGTGAGCATATCTGACAAAGTTTCACCTTCCAGATTAGCTCAGGTACTCAGCTCCTTAAAACCTGTTGCAGTTCCCATTGCTTTGGACACAAGGTCCATGTTCATCTGTTAAAGTGGCACCTGAGCAACTGCATTTTAGCTTTATTTCATCCTTGGTCTAAACCTCCCTCTAAGCCTGCTCTTCTGCAGATGGAGCTGAATGGGCTTAGAAACCTGCTAGAACAGCCACCTGGGAACATGTCCAATTTAATCTACAGGCAGAAATGTAGCTGAAAATGATCAAAAGATTTTATTAAAATCTGGGTTAATTGTGACTTGGGAGAATTTCTAACACAGACCAGTGTGTACTTTTGCTCTGTGGTGGGGTTTTTGCCTGGCCCTGACTTTCTTTGTAGAGCCAGGTATCAACTGTGTTCACAGCATGTGAGAAGACCATTAGAAAGGACAGTTAGGAGCACATCAGTGATAACCAAGTGAAAGTTGTGGATTCCACAACTTTACTATTCCTCTTTTTAGGTCATTAAAGGGAAAACGGGGGAAGGTGTGGGGTGGGGGGAAGAGTGGTGGGGGGGGTGAGCAATTGAGGAACATAGACCTCATTGAGTAGGTCTTTGATATATTGACAGCAATCGAAGAGAAGGCAAGTAAGTGGAAAGATGTGGAAAGTTGGGGGGTTTGGGGTTTTGGTTTTTAAAGTTTTTTTGCTGTAGTTCTGTCAGCAGAAATCTCAACCCCTACTCAACCCACTACTGGCATTGCTCATCAGTGCCTGCCATGACACCAGCACAGAAGACTCTCAATCCAGGCCAAGATCTGCAGCTATTCAGCAGCTGTGCCCATTACCTGCTAAAATATCCTGCAGGGCAGTGAGATTGCCTGGCTGGTCTGGGAGACTGTGCCAGGAGGCTTGGCTGCAGCAGGGAATTATTTCTTCTGCCCTGGCAACCACATGCCTTTGGAAGCTGCCACACAGAGGTGGTATTTCCAGATGACAGTCACCAGGCTTCTCCAGAGCTGGGAATGCCAGCATTCCTGTTGGGACTCCATAATGCCAGGGGGCCCTAAGAATGGAGAGAGACACAGTGAATGTGGGAAGCAATTCTGTGACCTTTTATCCATCACCAGCTTTTCCTGGCACACTTAAAATACTTAAAAATGAGAAATGCTGTAACACTCCTTGGTTCTCAAAAAGTCAATAGTCTGATGTGCCAGACTTCACTCTCTTGTTCAGGAAGTCATGGGTAGAACAAGTAGACATTGCAAAATCTCAGAGACACTTTTCCCCCTCTCGTTATCTATTTTTGAGGCAAGGAAGGAGATTTGGGCTTGTGCTTGGGTTCAGCAACACATTTCAGTGGGGTGATCAGACTGGATTTGGGTTGTGTTACTGCTGGCTATGGTTTTCTCTGAGGAAAAAGGCAGACAAAATTTGAGAGCAGGGGACGTTTTGGTAAATCATGAGTAAAACAAAACCTGATGGTAGAAAAGGAGAATCAGCCTTGGTGGAAGAAAGCCCGAGAAGTGCTCCCATATTTCAAGGTGTGCAAACAAAGCAGGTAAGCTTTAATGCCAAATAATTTAAATTCATGCTTTCTTTTTTTGACAACTCAATTGTTTGTTCGTGAAAAGCATTCCTCTGAAATCCTGAAAGGGGTAGGACTTACATAGAAGTCATCTTTGTTATAAAACTTTTGAGCAATCCTTGGGCAAACCAAGTGAAAGCTGAAGTGCTCTCCGTGCCCCTGTCTGGCACCAGGTGGCACACGTGCTGCTGTTTGGAATTCAGAGCTAGGGCAAACCGAAAGTGACAGTCAAAACCCAACGTAGTGATATCGAACTACAGCAGCCATGTACTAATGCCAGCTTTACAAGGAAATTAAAATTGTATTTATTCTTGCTTGTTACCTATAAAACACAGTGGAAGGATCAGTGGTGTCAGAAAATCTCACACAAAAATCACAAAAAAGTACCTGGTGATATATTTAGAACAGAAGACCACCGTTTGTTTCTACCACTGCCAGAAGAAGCTTCATAGCATTTAGAGTTATTTCAGGCTTTTAATCTTGAACACGAAATGTGCTTTGCCTACCCAAACCCTGGGGGTGAGTAGAGTTTGTGCTCTGTTAGTTTGGCACTTCTTAAGGATGCTCAGACCATGCCACTCTGAGCTTTTAGACTCCATGCTGGGAAGCTGGACCAAGGTGTCTAAAATAATTCATTTCTTTATGCCAGAAAAGGTCATGTCTAGGCTATAGACAAGGAATAAATTCTGTGCTACCTGCTGTAAAACCCTGCTACTCATTGTTGAGGGTTTGCATCATGAAGCCAGGGTGAAGTCTGGTCCGTAGATTAAAATGGAGGAAGAAGTGCTGTGATATCAAAGCCAGGAATTCCACATTATGATAATGATGGTGCTCACAGGGCTGCCAAGATAAGACGTGTACCCCGCTTATAGACACCCCATTTTGAGCAGAGAGGGCAGGGTTATGACAGCTTTGTGGATAGTGGTGTACAAAGGCACAATGTGTTTGCCACCTACCCACGAGCACAAGTACTGTCTGTGCATGAGGATCGTGCCACTGCGCTTGCTTTGTGCTGTGTCCGGGTGTGTGGTGCTGGGCACCGCCTGTAGATACCACAGCGTGTGTGTGTGCGGAGAGCTGCTTTTTATGTTAAAGGGCCTGGCTGTACCTGGGCACACCTGTTGTGGTGGTGAGGATGTGAACAGGGGTGCACCCCGGCCCGCACATCCGTGCAGGTGATAACCCCATAGGGGAAAGTGCTGGGTCTCTCTCTCCAGGTACAGGTGTATCTCTCGGGGTGCTCGCGGGGTGCGGGGTGTCCCTGGGGCCGGGGTGCTCCCAAAGGTGTGGGGTGTCCCCGGGCGCGGGGCGCTCCCGGGGTGCGGGGTGTCCCTGGGGCCGGGGTGCTCCCAAAGGTGTGGGGTGTCGCTGGGTGCGGGGTGTTCCCGGGGATGGGGGGTGTGCGGGGTGCGGGTGTCCCTGGGCGCGGGGTGCTCCCGGGCTGCGCGGTACTCCCGGGGACGGGGTGTGTGCGGGCTGCGGTGCTCCCGGAGCCGCCCCGCCGGGGCAGCCCCTCCCCGCAGGCGGTCTTTATCTCTCGCTCGCCCGTTCGCTCCCTTTCGTTCTCCCGGTTCGGGCGGGCGCGGCGGGGACAGCGGCGCAGGGCTGTGTGCCCATGGCGCTGGCGGCCGCCCGAGCGCGGACTCTGCGCGCCCTCAGCCGCCCGCGCCCCCCGGGCCGGGTCCCGGCGGCGGCCCGGAGCTGCTGCAGCCCCGCGGGCGCCCCCGGGGCGCTGCCGCCCGGCGAGTACCGGGCCTGGCGGGAGCGGGCGGCCCGCGACCCCGCCGGGTTCTGGGCGGACGTGGCGCGGGGGTGGCTGCGCTGGGACAGTCCCTTCCACACGGCCTGCCAGCCCGAAGCGCCCGCTGGTTCCGCCCGCTGGTTCCTCGGCGGCCGCCTCAACGTCTCGGGTAAGGGGTCCCGGCCGCGCATCCCCCGCGCCCGGCGGGGCCGCCCGCGGCTGCCACCGGGCTGGGCGGGAGGCGACCCGCGGGGCGAAGTTTCTCCATCGCCCGTCTTTGGGGGTAAAACCGAGGATTTCGGTTGGGCGGCGCAGGGAGGAAGCAAGCCAGGAATTGCGAAATGCTGGAAACGGGGAGAAAATCCGAAGCTGGGATAACCCCGGCTAAGCCTTTTGCCCGGGCACTGCCTCACGGGCGGCCGCCCTTCGACCTGCGGAGATGGGCCCCGGGATGGGATGCCAAATTTGGGCTCTGCCGGCTGCTGCCCGGCCCCGTGGTGGCTGAGGATGATCCACAGGTGGGGAACGGTCCCAGACTTTTATGGCAGGGATTTTTTTTTTTTTTTTTTTTTTTAACGAGGATCTTGGTATTTTCCTCCAATTTCACCTCTCAACATGAAACGAGTGAATTTTGCCGTGGCTGCCCTGAGTGCATCTGAGTTTTGTCCATGCCGTATCTGCCCTGAAGGCTCTTGTGTGCTGCGGCTGTGCTTTGTCCGGTGGGAGTGAGCCCCAGCCCCATCCAGGGTACCACTCACTGGTGATGTCTTTTAACAGGGACGAACATTTCTGACCTTCATTTCCTGTTCCTCGGGGAGGACGCTGGTTCACTAGTGCAGTAACTGTAACATCTCTGGCCACTTTTTGTTTGACAGCCAAAAGAGGAAACCCTCCTCAGGTCTTCCAGAGAGCCTAAGAGAGTGTCTTCACCCTGGGGGTGGGTGATGCCCGGCAGTGGATCCCAAACTTATGGAGATATTTGTACAGCCCTGTGCCCAGCAATCAGCAATCAGAGGATTTTAGCCAGGATTTTGTTGTCATTAATTCCTGTTGAAAGGAAGATCTTGTCTGAGCACAGCCTATCAGGGATCTATTTCTTTCCTCTGTAGTGTGGGATCAACACTTTCTTCTGGATCTCATGCCAGATCTTTGATATTCAGATATTGCTTGGCCTTGGGTCTGGTTCCTCAGCAGACAGAAAATGCCACTTAGCTTTTTTTTCATACATAAAAGGAAATCATAGACCTTTGAAACAGATGCACAGAATTAAACAGGTTTGCTGTTGCTGGTTTTCTTTTCAAGCGTGATTAAGGCAGTACTTTGCCACAGCCAAGTGGCTGTTTTTCTGTTAGGAGACTGTGATTTTGTCCTTTCACCTCTTGATTTGAACACAGTCTGTGTAGAAACATAGCAGCAGTTCAGGTCCCTTATCCAGAGCATCATGTGTGCATGTCTCCCAGCACAGCTGAACCGTGAGCAACTGAGTAATCTGATGTTCTTTGCTTGAGAGCCCTTGCAGTAGGATTTTGTGGACCTGTGAGCTTAAGGGCTTCTGGATTTCTTGCACTGTACTCCTGGTCAGGAGAATAACCTGGCAAACTGCATTTCCCATCAGGACACATTCTCAGGAACTTGTCTTACTGAGATTAATTGTTTCTGAGCAGTCAAGGAAGCAAGAAAATGTATTGAGAAGCCACTAGGGTGTAGTAGTAAGGAAAAGGTCACTAAATTCTATTTTGTAAAATGAGCAAAAGGCTCATGTAAGCCTAAGATCAGGAAGGAAATAATAGCAGTTGGCTCTGGTTCACCTGCTGGTTCTTACAGAGCGCAGAGCTAAAGCTCCTACTTGGCTCAGCCAGGGCTTCCTGCAGCAGAAATTCCCTCTGAAGGCCAGTGTGGCTGCTCATGAGTAGGAAAAGTTGTTTGGGCAATGAATGCCATTTTGTGATTCACTGTAGCATGGCACAGTATGCGAGGGTGTAGCTGTGAGGAGCCTGGAGGTGGGAGTTGCTACTTGTTGTGAACCAAGCCACAGCAGTAAACACAGGTAGAAGAAATTAGTGTATAACTGCTTAAAAATTCCCCACTAGGATTTTTGTCCTCTTGTATCTTATTAGGATGGCTTAAGAAATGGCTTTGTCTTATTTTTATAGTACTGCTGCAGGGTTTTACATTAAAAATAAAAGACTTTAAACAGCTGGTGCTTTTTTGAATTTTTGAGATTAACATTTGGTCTTGCAATAAAATGTGTTAAACTCTGAGGAATTACTTCCTCTATGCACCTTTAGGGGCTCATTCCCATCCCGTGTGGTGGTGTGATCACAGAACAACCAAAGCTACTACAGCACACAGTTTTTTAAAATATATCTGGAAAAATTAAATCCTTTCCCATCAGTATTAATATTTCCAGGAAATATGATCTGAAATCCAGCATTTTTTAAAAAGGTTTTCTCTGAGTTATACAGCAGTGTCCCTGACTAGTTGCCTATTGAAATAAAGTAATTGCCTTTGCAAGATTACAATGCAATAAGTAAGTGTCATGTAGACTTGGAGTTAATTCTTAACAAGGATGTTCTCTGACTATCAGGCAAGTTGCTACTGGACATGCAGGCAAGTTTCTTTTGTGGATTCTATACATTTCTTCAGATTGGGTGCTCTCCCTACATCCTCCACTTCAAGATGCTGAGGGGGAGAAATGCACCTTTAAAAGGGAATTTTATGCCTTTAAATTTTAGGAGATGGAATACACAGCCTGAGACACATTAATCTTCCTATGTGTCTGATAACTTGTAGATGTCTGAACTTCTAGTTTACCATAGATCCTACAGTTTTAGACATTTTCAATTAGCTGAGATTCAGCTCTTTGTTATACCCTGGAACAAAATGTTTCACGTGAGCTTTAATTAGAAAATCCAAATGGTGCAGTGCTAAATATGCCAGCTGGGGAAGACTGTCCGAGTTCTGTAGTGAAATGCTGCTCTGGAGAGAAAAAACATCAAAAGGGTATCTTACCTTTGTGCTGCTGGGAGCAAGGGAAAGATTTGGGCTGGCTTAAGTTTAGGCAGTGGAGCTAAATGGCTGAATTGAGCCATGAATTCAGCCCATACCTGAATTTGCCATGGCCTCTCATGGGTATCCATCTCTAAGGCCACTGTGCCAATTAAATGTAGAATTTGTTGTATAGCTTTACTGGAGCTGCAAATGCCTGTTCCTCTGTTATACATTAGTGTGTGTCTAGCAACCCAAAAACTGATGTTTCATCTTGCACTTGCTTGCTGTTGCACTTGATCAAGCTAGGTTTACAAAGCACCTTTCATATGTTCAGGCTTTGTTTAAACCTTTGGGTTTCTTTACAGTAAATTGCTTGGATCAGCACGTCGAAAAGTCTCCAAACAGAGTGGCTTTGATTTGGGAGAGAGATGAACCTGGCACTGCAGTGCATGTCACATACAGGTATGGCACCTTCTCACTATGCCTGGCAGTGTGGGGGACACAGGAAATGGGATTTTTCCACCTAGCAGTTTCCTTTTTGCTTGCTGGAGATACACATGGGAAAATTTCTGTGAGTAGCTTCTGGTTTCAGAAGAATAGCAAACATCTTGGTGCAAATGTCTTGTGTTGCTAGTAAACAGCTTGATACTGAGTCCTGGCTGGAGGGGATTTTAAGTTCTCCATGTTTCTCTTTCCCATCCTCACTGCAGTTCAGAGCAACTTTGAGACTGCTCTGATTGACACTGATATGTAATTGATGCTACAGATTGCACAGTTTGTTAGAGTAGGGCAGGTTTAAGCATATTTCTCTTCTCCTTGCTATATGCCCTCGTTTAGGAGACAGTCCTGCCTTTTACATCATCTCTGTCTCTAGTGAGATTTAAATGTTCCCAGACTTGTACATTCCTCAGTGCATGTTTTAGGGAGCCAGATCTTTGAGCTGCTGAATCTCAAGGAGCCAGATGTTTGTTCTGCTAGATCATAAAGCAGAGGAGATGAAGAATGTCCCTAGCATCAGACTTTTACAGAATGTTTTCTGCAACTTGTTGGGGTTCCTAGAGCTCCTTGGGTCTGAAAATGTTCTAGTGGTCTGATTCATCTCCAAAATTTATGAAAGCTCCTGGTAGCATTATTCATTCAAGTGAGGAAAGTGGTCAGCAGGGAGGAGTGGGTGTAAAAATAACTCTGAGAGGTTAGTGCTCCATGCAACAGAAAGAAACGCTGTCTGATATAAATCTATGAAAGGAGTGCATTGGTTTTTATCTTGGTATTGTTATTTGGCAGGGTGCTTAGGCCTGTTATGATATAAATATGTTGTAATGATCTGGGTAGCTTGTCTAAGTGCTTTTGCATTTTGCCATTCTGGTGGTAAACATGGAGATGAAACCAAAGGTTTCTCCCCGAGTTTATGCATGGTATGTTTTTCTCCCAGGTTTGTGCACTTTTACCTCTCTCTTTATGCCTCAGGCATGAAAACAAGGGGTAAGAAAGAGGTGACAATTGTGCTCAGATCAACATGACAAGAGAAGCAACCCAACAGACAGCACTGCCTTATTCAAGGCAGCTCTAACCTCCCCCTTAGGCCGCTACTTGAAATGTACTGAGCTGCTGCAGACGCTCAAACATCTTATCTGCAATCTCTGGAGATAAGGGACGGCCTTTCTGAACAGCAACAGGAATGGTTTTTTTCCCTGGCCATGCCCAAGTGCGTTTGGAAGAAAGTATATTTTCAGCCTGTGGAATTGTGATAGCTGTGACATGAAAACAAGTAACCCATATCTGAAAACTGAACCCTTTTTTGTGCAGCCTTACAGAGATACAGTAACTGGTATCAGAAAGGAGAACATCCAAGTGAAAGACGTATTGGCAATCTCTATTTTCAAGCTTCTGTCTGTATTTGAGAGCCATGTTTCTGTTTATGCCTGATACTGTGGGTCAGATGTGATTGCATTTGAGTTTCTCTAGAGACTTTGGTCCTACCACGTGGTAATACAGGTCACTTGGTTCTCTGCTTATCTCATTAAGGCAGGAATAGCTTTGTTGAAAGCAGCGGTACTCTCTGAGTATTTTGCCTTTTCTGTGGTCTTTGGGCTGCATTTTTACAGGTTTTATATGGGTCAGAAAGCTTTTCCTACAGTGTGTTAGCATTGGCTTCCCTTTGAGATAGAACTTAGTTGAAAACCTTTTTCAGTAGTGCCTTATTTGAGCTAGAAGTTTTGTGAGGGAAAGCAAATCAGAGAAGGAAGTGGCCCAAGAGGTGGGATGCTGGTGGTCCTTGGTGAGCCTTCTGTAGCACATACAGCCTCAGAGTAAAGGGGGAATCAGAGGGATACTGGACATGTCTTGGCAGAACAGAGATGCCTCTTTCCTTAGGATCTGGATGCCCTGTTAATGGCACAGTGCCCTTAGAGTAAGGACTTAGCACTGTAGGAAAACAAAGACTTTAATTTGGGCTCTGTCTTATGGACCAGCTTAGAGTGAGGTCGTGGATACAGCTGGGAGAGAGCTGTCCAGGGCTTATGTGCAACATTGCTAGGCACCGTTCTGCATTATCTACTCTGCAAAGCTTGCTGCTGTGAGCTGCTTCTCCTCAAAGATAAACCCTGGGCAACACAAGGAAAGATGCAGCTGCTGGCCTGGTCCTCTGCCTTCTCCTCTGGGGAGTTGTCAGGGACAAGAAAACAGCTGAGTGCTGGCCTTGTTCCCATTGCAGCCTGCAAAGGAAGAAGGTGGATGTGCAGGAAGAGGGCTGGAACAGGAAAAAAAACCTTCATCGGTGGGATGTCCTCCATGCACTGGCAGGAAACACAGCTGCACTGGAAAGTGCTATCCCAGCTGGCTCATCCTTGGCAGAAATAAAAGCCTCAGTTTGCCTCTGCTGTGGGCAAAGAGCTGGTGGGCTGTGCCATCCAGTCAACCCACATCCATGTGCACACTTGTCAGCAAGGTGGGTTGTAATTGTGCATCAGAGTTCAAGTGCTGTATGCTAGGGGAAGAATCCGAACATCTGCTGGTGGGCAAAGATACCCAAAGCCATAGGTGAAACATTTTATTTTTGCACCAGGAGATGATGTCTGCCCTTACAAGCTTGGTTGTGATGACTTTTTTCATTGCTGAGTTTTGTCCTATCTCTCTAGCTGATGCAATTCAGCCTTTCAGGAAAAAAAAGTTCACTGGCCATTCTTGCTTCTTCTTCCCTGTGGGTAGAAATTTAGCTGAGTTTCAAATTATCTCTGGTTTTGAATGGGAAGGCAAGAGACTTGTTTTTTTACTGCTTTGTAACAACAGGGGATACAACCCTCTTGGGCTTTGGTGGCTGCAGTCAGCAAAGTGGGGACAGGTCATGCAAATCAGTTATCAAGAGGCTCTCTGACTCTCCTGAGGCTAAGCCACCAAAAGCTCATTGGTAGGGCAGTGGCTTAGCAGCACTGTGGTGCTGTGAGCTGACAGCTGAATTAATTGTCAGAAGGGTCCAACCAGACCAGGAGTGTTTTGTCCTGCTTTGTGGATATTGTCAGGGCTCAGGGCCTTTGAAACCTTGCAGAGGAATTCCCCAATGCATTGTGAGCCTGGGTTTTTAAAGGTACTGTACCCTATAAAAGCAGGTGGAGATAGTGGCCAGAGCTGTTGGGTTGCAGCCTCTCTAAGTTCAATGACAGGAGGTGTTGAAGACAGCAGCTAAAGTTATGCCAGCCCTCCTGCTCTCTGATGTGGAGTTATTTATTCTCTCTGGTGTTCCCTGGTTTACAGTTTATCCACCTATGACCCAGTGGATCTGCAAAATCTCACGGCTATTGTCAGTGGGAGCTATGGGAATTGGGCAGCAGAATGCCTTAGCTAACCTGTTTTTCAAAAGGGTTCCAGGTCTCAAAAGAAGGATCACTTTGGTGCAGAAAACATTGTTGCCAGAGGGAAAGCTCAAAATGCAAAAGACAAACTAGGGAGAGAGGAAAGCTAAAGGACCAGAAATCAGGGTCCTAGGTAGGTGGGAGAGAAGTGGTTGGACATCTTCATGAGCAACATGATAGCGATACCTTTAAAAAACCAATGGATTCCTCAGCCTGAGCTAAAATAGATGAAATTGTGTTAGAGATCACAGTGAAGAGTGTAGCTGGAAGCCATGATGATACTTACCATTGGCAGCAAAACTCTTTTCCAGAGCTGCCTTTGTAAGCTGAGTTTGCAAGTACATCTTACCCAGGCTTGCAGTTTTCCCCACCCAAGACAGCTCATGGGTTTCTCACTTTCTCACCTAAAAAAGGTTACAAGGGGTTTCCCTTGTCTTGGGTTCAGGATGTCTGCAGGAAGGCTGGGCAGTTGTGCTCTAATGCCCAGTTTGGACACTTGACCTGAATTTTCAAACAGTTTCAGCCTAATCCAAACTATGGTTCCAGGAAATAAACTGATTGCTGCAAGAAATACTCAACCCAGCTTTTGTACCATGACAGCAGAGAACATGGCTTGGGCTAAGGTAAAACCAGGTACTGTCAAAACCTGTGTATGGCATTGAATGTATTAAGAAAAAGTCTAGAATAATTTTGCAAAAGGCTGCTTCCCAAAGAAGGTCTTGATGCAACTTTTTTTAATGTAAAAGGAACTGGCTTCCTTTGCTTAGAAAGCTGTACACTCTCGCTGTGGCAAAAGGTAACATCAGACTTACTGGAAGGCTGTTTCTGCAAAGCATCCCTGAAGTGCATCAGAGAAGTGCCATGTGGTACTGATGGGTTTTACAGAAGTTGTTCCAGACACTGCATTGAACAATGGGCTCTGGAAGCTGTATTTGGGAAGAGATCTGGGAGAAGTATGGTCTGTCAGTTCCTGAACAGAGATGTAAGGACAGGGAGAGGAATGCTGTCTGTTAGATTAAACAGGACTGGCTTGAGCAATGATATGCTGGCTCTGTTGGAGGGCCAGCCTTGTAGTCTTGTGCTTAGAAGCGATGCTGTGGTAGCTGAGGAGATGCTTGCATAGCAAGTGATGAGTCAGGAAGACAACAGGCTCAAAGCCTTATCCATGGACAAAATGGAAGCACACCTTACAGAGAGACACAAGAGTTAATTATTAGTTTTAGCCCTTAACACAAATCTTCTTACTCAAATCCTAAATCATACAGAAAGGAATAGGTCCTGGTGGTTACCACTGACACCCACAGTTGTCCAGCAGCAGGTCCACATGTCTCTTTCTGGTCCTTCATCTGTATGCATTAATGCCTCTTCCATCTTCCTGGCTTGCTTTGTTCTAAATACACAGACTGGATCTATTGCTCTTTCTCCTTAGCAAATGGTCTCCCCTTCTGGTTGCTGCTTCCCCATTTCTCCTCTCTGCTCTGGCACTTTACCCACTGGAGCAGTGTTTTCCTGTCCAATTTGTTCTCTTATTTGCTCTCAGCTCTTACAATTTGCTTTTGCAGAGGATCCTCAGACTGTTGTGCTATGAACTAATTCTGTGGTTTCTTGGTTTCTTGTCTTTGTCAGGAGGGGCTGGGCGCTTCTCTTTGCTTGCAGCATGTTTCCTTCTCCTGCAGTGGCTCTGCTGAGATCCTCCTGCTGTCTGCCCTGCTTGCACAGAGGGAGCTGAGTGCTCCAGGACCCTCTCTGTGACCCATGGCTTTGTTCCTCTCTGCTGGTTATTCCTGCCTCCCTCTGCTGAGTGCGGTGCCTGGCTCTGAGTGGCTGCACTGAAATCCTTGGGAATGCAGGCAGCAGGTGGATGTGCCATGCTACCAACACATTTCCTGGCCAGCATTCCATGCCATTGCCTCTGTGTCAGAGCTGAGGCACTGCTGGGTTTGAGGTTTTCTTGGCTCTTCCAACCTTGTGTGATGGAGGAGCTACAATGCCAAGCTTGGCAGTAGTAGCAGATGGGGAGGGTGATGATGGCTGTGGTCTCCTCCTGCTCAGTATGTTTAGGTGCAGTGACTCTGCACAGTGCTCATTCCTCCCCAGGATGTGTCTGGGTTGAGGACTGACAATGTGTAACATGCTGCCTGCCTGTACCAACTGCCTGCCTGTTAGATGAAAAAATGTGCTTGAAGGAGTCAAGGGAAGGATTCCTGACACTGTTTCTGCTAACTCCCTTTCTTGAACTGGAGAGCAAGCCTGACTTGGTGCCAACAGGAGCCAAAAGATGTATCTCATGCTCAGGGATTTGTGGATGTCTTCATTGGAGTTCTTGGCTTCACCTATTCCTTGCTTTTGTGTCCATTCCTCCATGTGCTGCAGCTCCGAGGGACCTCCAAGGCCTTTCTATCCCAGCATTTCAGCATACAAAGAAGAGGCAAATAGATCCATGGGTAAAGACTGATCCATGTTGTCTATCACCTTACTTACACATGCTCATTAAGCAAATGTCAAATTGGGGTTAATCATAAAAAACAGTGAGTGCTTCTGCCATTGTGGTCACCAAGTCCTGAACAAGCAAAAGAAGCAAGAGGAATCATGGAGTTGCTCAGAAAACTCCATGATTTTCTGGAGTTTAGGCAGAGATACTCTGGCATTTCTGTATAGGATAAAGAGGCTGCAGCTCAGAAAGCACTTGAGTATTTTCCATTACAGATAAGAAGTTTTCATTTTACTTTCTCACAGCTGTCTCTCTGAGGCTTGTTTCCCTTTATGTGCTTTGTAGCTGAGCAGCTTCTGTTTTGCCTCTTTGTTATTTATCCACATTGAAATTTTCTTTAATGCAGCATCAGGTAAATTCCAGACCAGAAAATTAAGCCTTTTAGGACAAGGCACCAAACCAGTGGTTGGGTGGGAATTCATTATTGCTCATGAACTCAATAAAAGCAAAATAATAAATCTAACTGTGCACTTCCATGGTCATGAGGGGCTTGGGAAGAGGTCTTCAATGTTGTGCTTTAGAGTTTAGGCTGATCTTTCACTATAAGGGATTAGGGAGAATTCAGTCTGGGGTGCAGCTACTCCATCCCTGCTTTCGGCAGGCTTGTGATCACTCTGCAGGGACAGCTGTTACCAGCTACTGCCAGAGAACTGGCACTGAATGTGTCTGGCCACCTATCCAAGTTCAGAAATGGACTATTTACTTGATGCTACAGGAATAGTCTTAGATTAAATAATATGAAGTGCTGTGCCTTGGATTTGTCTAATTTTCCTTGGTTTAAGACAAGTTAAGGGGTGGATACTCCAAAAATTACTTATTCTCAGCCCATAGTTTTGATATTTCTAAAGCAGAGCACTTCAGCTTTTATTTCCAACTTGCAGTGGTTTAAAAAAAGGAACAAAATATTTTTTGATGGACCAGAAACAATTCTTCATTTTATTTGCAGCTTAGACACCAGTTGAAAATTGGGTTTGTTATTTTTTTTTGCAGCTATTGCCAGTTCTGGGAGAAGAGGATACTTAAGGATTCGTGCTTTACAGCTTATTAGGGAATGCAACTCACCAAAATTAATTTCATTGTTAAAAGTTATAGGGGTCCCTGGTTGTGTAGCTTGGAACACCTAAGGGTTCACAGGTGGCAGGTTGATGATGAACAAGCTGGAGAGTAGAAGATGTTTCTCTTCTCTGGGCCTTGGTACTTACAGAGTTCGTGAACCCTGTGAAAGGACAATTCCTGGCAGATTCTGCCAGTCTGCTCCTCTGAGCTGATGACTGGCACCACAAGGAGTGCTCTGTTGCCCCTTGTCAGCACCCTGTGCTGCACCTCCTCCCTTGACATGAGACCATTTCTCACCTGGCACAGTATCCTTTGTTCCCAAGACCCTTCCACTGCAGGCATATAGAGCTGCTCAGTCCATGGCAGCATCTTGGTCCCAGGTGTACCTGCCATTCTGCAGGCATCAGAATAAGGGAATGTGCAAGCCCTTGCCCACAAATTGTGTTTTCTTTCCTTAGAGGAACGTTTTTGCTATTGTTACCATGTCATAGCAGAGTCCTATGAAAAGAGACTTTGTTCCTGTTCTTGGTGTTCCTGAATTTCTCTGTGCAAGAGTGGCAGCAGTACTTGTGTTCTGAAATGCTGTTGGGCTGCAGGAGATCCAGCTGTAAAATCTGTCCCTCATACAAGTGCCTCCAGACTTCTCCTCTCTTTCCTTGTTCATGCAAATGTGTTGCTTACCCTTGCAATTTAAAGAGAAACTCCTGGTAGTGGAACACTTCCAGCTGTTGCCCAACTTAAATAGTGTGGCAGACTTCGGACAACACTTCCATTTCATCCTGTGTTTATCCCACTTGTGTTCCCAGTGGCTTCTGACTGAGCCTCATGGGTAAAAAAGGCATCAGGAGTACTGAAATGAACCTTGATTTCTGGAGGCAGCATGACAGCACCTGGCTTGCTCGCTGCTGTGGCCACCTTACAGCCCAGCAGCTCTGGACAGTGCCTGCAGCTCTCTCCTGTCCTGCAGCAAGTACCACTCTGCCCTTTCTTCTCCTCTCCACAATGGCAGGAGCAGCCTGGCTACCAGCATGCCCCAGGCCACCCTTCTTTAGGATGCCCTGTACTGCTGAGATGAGGTGCAGAGGTGATCATGAAGACTCAGTCTGCCCAAGTTCATCTTTTCTTTGCTCACCCCGTGTAAATCAGGTTGTGCAGTCACATGACAACATTCCTTCTCTGCCACAGGGAACTTCAGGATCTCACTTGCCGCCTTGCCAACACTCTGAAGAAATATGGGATCCACAAAGGGGACAGGGTGGCCATCTATATGTCTGTGTCCCCCTTGTCGGTGGCAGCCATGCTGGCTTGTGCCAGGATCGGAGCTGTTCACACCGTGGTCTTCGCTGGATTCAGCGCCGAGTCCTTGGCTGGGAGAATCATGGACTGTGAGTAGATGCAGATTGGGGAACAAATGCCTCCGTTTCAGTGCTCCAAGGCATATCCCAGCCCTGTGTTTTCTTGGCAAAAAGAGTTTTCTTGTTTCATTCTTGCCTAGCCGGGCAGTTCTCTCTCCCCTGCAGAGTGCAGTGAGGAGCCTTTTCCTGAGTGACACATGCAATGTCCTCTGGCCTCAGAATACTTAATAAATTGCTTAACATTCAGTGTGCACTGTGTTATTGCTTGACAGCAGTGAAACTGGAAGGAAAAACACAGCGTAGGGATAGAGCCTGATTTGCTGTTTTGCAGTGTAATTGCAGTGTTTCTTTCATACTCTTGGATAGAACTAATTCTGCATTCTCAGTTGGGATCCTGTGATTTATGTATAGTACTGGAAGTGCTGGCAGCCTGCCCCTGCTCTGTGAGCCCTTCTACCAGCAGATAGAGCTGTTCTCAGCCCCGAAGTACTTGTATATTGTAATTAGGTAAAAAGTGATGCTAAAAATAGAAACAGAAGAGGGAAATAGCCACTGGATCATGTCCTAGCAGTCACATCAGATTACTTTGTGGCTAGTGTGAGGGAATAAGTTTTACAGAAATTGTCATGTTCTTTCCTTTTTAGTGGAGTTGATCTGAAGAGAGCAAGTACATGTTTTAGTTATCCCTCACACAGAGAACTGGGAAGAAGCTGTTCTGTGTATCAGGTTTGCAAGGCAGGGATGGATGATTTAAAATGCAGTGAGTGACACTTGGGCTGGATGTTGGGAAAGACTTCCTCACATTTGTGATAGGCTTTGGAGTGGATTGCTGGGGAGAGGGTAGAGTAGATGACATTGGAAGGGATAGCTATCAGGAGTGGTTTAGCTGAAGCAGACCCTGCCTTGAGGTGGGGGAGATGAACTGGATAACCTATGGAGGTCCCAGCTGCCCTTAATCTCTGTGTGTCTCCGATTTTAAAGTCTTTTCATCAGTGACACTGACTGGTTTTGACTAACAGCAGTTCTGAGTATTTATCACACATGTCCTATGCAACGCCCCCAAAGTAATGAAAGTTGGGTGTGCATACTAGCCTGGAAGACAGGCCAGCATGTCTGCTAATTCTTTTTCTTTTTAGCTGGATGCAAAGCAGTTATCACATACAACCAGGGAGTCAGGGGAGGCCGAACCATAGAGCTGAAGGCAACGGTGGATGAAGCTGTGAAGAACTGTCCAAGCATCAAACATGTGTTTGTGGCTCAGAGGACAGATAACAAAGTCCAGATGGGTGACCGTGATATTCCCCTTGAAGAGGTATGTTGTTGTTGGATAACTCCTTTTAGGTCTGAGTGTTGGCTAGGATAATCTTTCTCTCCATAAGTGCTTTTGGGACCTGTGTTCTGCTCCTTACAGCATCTGGATCTTCATCCTCAAATGGACGGCCTGTATTTACAGTCTGCTAGGATTGTGAGTCGAAGCAGCTCAATCTATGTCTGGTTTATCTCAGCATGGGCAGGGGTTATGCTGTTCCATTTCCCAAGTCTTGCAAACACTGCTGAGATTTAAGGAGTGTTTCCTGAGACCCAGAGGCCATGGAGACCATCGTGGCTGTTGTTATTTTACTGTGTTCAGACACTGTGTTATGAACTGCATGTGCACTCAGACTGGACACTGCTGAAAGGCAGTGCAGAAATAATGAAGTTCCTAGAGAGGCTTCATCCAGCCATGAACAGTGTTGTGGTTGTCCCATGGTGGAGAATAGTGATGGCTTAGGAATATTTAAAGCCTGTGCTTCCTGGGGAAGAAAACAGCAGTTGTTTTTATGTGTTTAGCTGGCACACATGGGACTCCAGCCTAATGCAGAAGTAGTTTTACCCGTTTGCTGGCAGCAGTAAACAGGAACTACTCATGCTAATAATGCCTGGAAAAAGCTAATCTGCTGGCAAGATAATTGCTCAAGAGTCTCTGTGCTGGTCACGTGAGATAGGAAGAAGTACTAGTGTAAGTTAAACAGAGAAGACAAGGTTTACTCAGAAATTATCTTGCTCCTTACTCCACAAAGGACGTTCTGATTATTTTCCTTGCAAATAGCCTGAGGTACTTTAGTGATCCAAGAGCTGAGCTCATCCCTTTGTCAGTTTTGGGATCTGAAACAAAACAAGAACTAAACAGTTACTGGTGTTAACTGTCCTTACTGATCTTTACAGCAGCTGTACTTTCCAGCTCTTGTGCAATGGCTTACTGTAAAATTTAAGGTCATGTTGTAATGGAGCATATGAGGATTCCATTTTTGTTTCAAAAACTGACAAGTCAACCTGAATTGGCAGCGCTGAAATGTCATGAGAAATACCTGAGATGAACAGCAGGGCTGTAACTCAGAGGCTAAGAATTACATTTTGTGAACTCTTCATGTTTTATTAAGCTTTGTTTGTCAGACACTTTTAAACAACTGGACCTACAGATGGTAATGTTCACTTATAAATACAGTGTGTTTACAGTGTATTCTCATAAAAAAGTAGTACCAAGAAATTCCTTCAAGGAACCACCTAATAATTCTTGCAGGAATTATTCATCAGGACAGTACAGAGCTCGAGAGAGGCTCTGACCTAGCAGGGCATTGCATCCTTTTGTCCTGTGGTTCTGACTGTGGGGGTGAGGAGAGGATCTCACCCAGATGGCCAACAGGGGAGTATGAGGAGAATGACAGAGGCAGGACAGTAAAGCACTCTTCTTCTGGGCAGAAAAATAAGAATTTGAGGATCAAATGGACAGGACAGTCATCCACTGCTGGGGCCAGAGAAGGGAGATGACCATGCAGTTCAACTGTAGCGCTTCAGTTTTTAGAGGAAAAGGAAAGTACAAAGCGGTACCCAGTCAGCCTTGCTGCTGCTGCTGTCAAGTGTTTGCAGTCACATTTTGGATTTCTACCAGCAGCTTGCAAAGGCTTGATATCTAATCAGCTATGACTTACCATTTCCCCCCAGAAATTTTATTTTATTTGGCCAGTTCTCCTTGACTTCTCTGACCAGCAGAGGTACTGGTGGAAATGTTAGATGCTATGCACCCAGAGGAACCTTTCCACAAGGTGAGCCCTTATAAGCTATGACATATCCATGGAGATTTGTGAGGGGCAACAGCAATGATGGCTCCTGTCCCTGGATACTGTTCCCTTGCTTACAGAGGGAGTGATGATTGGCTCCATATAACCTGTCTTTCTGTTATTACCACATTTTCTTTCTTAGGAGATGACCAAGGCAGATTCCGTGTGCACTCCAGAGAGCATGGACAGCGAAGACATGCTCTTCATGCTGTACACCTCGGGTAGCACTGGGAAGCCCAAAGGAATCGTTCACACCCAGGCTGGGTACCTGCTCTATGCTGCTCTCACACACAAGGTAACTCAGCTGCCTCCTCTGAGAAAGGCTCACTTAGCTTTTAGCAGTGCTGACAAGAGAGACCTGGATCAGGGAGGAATGCTGTGTTCTCTGCTTGCTGCCCAGTTGGCTTATTGGTTGTAAACAAGCTGGAAAACATCTGAACTGTGTAATTAATCTTCAGGATTTGTTCTGAGGAATATGATATTATGCAAACCTGAACATAGAATTATGAAACCAAGGAAATGGCATTGCTGCTCTTGCATTTAAAATGTGACAATGTTGGCTGCCCAAAATTTGCAGCTGAGGAGATTCTGGAAAGTATCTTACTGGCATTGGTAATGTGGATATTATTGTAGTATTTTTCATTGGGATGCTGGACTTTTTTATTTCAGAGAGGATCTGGACTCTTAGAACAGCCCCTTCACATAGTACTTGTTATCTGAAGAACAAAAATTGTATTTCTCCTATTGTGGTTGCACTTCTGTTCTGCTTTTCTGGGTGATCTAGGGAAAACATTTTAACCTCCTTTCTTATGAAAATGGAAAGAGTCAAGGGACTGCTTCTTGAAGCTTCTGGTCTGAGATCTGCATATTAAAAGGTAACAGTGAAATGAGGAAAGGACTGTGGTGAAAGATTTCTATCTGGCTTTAGTGGTATCACCCTGTAATCACACATAATTCATGTGAAGGTTTTCTTTCTTTTGGCTGACATGGTTGACTTTTTAGAAGATTTGAATAGTCAAGCGTCAGACTTCTCTGCATGAAGTGAATTTTTTACTTCAGCTTTTCTAAGGCCCATCATAAACACCAAGGCATCTCTTTCTTAGTCCAGAAGGTAGGTCTGCACCGTGCTGCATTTTCTCCACCTGCAGAGTGCATGAGAGGGAAAGGCATTTTGAAAAGTAAGGTGAGAATTGTCTTTTCTAGGTAGAGGGGTCAGCTGACCTGTGTGATCTCTGTGGTCTTTGCACACTCACATGTGACACTCTTGTCACACACTCATGGGGTTTTTATAGTTCTGGTCCATAAACCTGACTCCTTATGAGTCAGGACCTCTTCACCTATGGTAGAGGAGTTAGATTTATAGTGGGAAGCATTTGCCATATCCAAGAGAAGATAATGAGTTATTCAAGATCTTTATCTTGAATTTGATGAGCAAGGAGAGGGTAGCATCTGGAAAGTGATGCACTCATATAGAGAAGCTGAGCAGCTAAGAATATTTCTCAGGAAATGTTTTATGGGCACCTATGAGTTCCTCCAGATCTCTCATTGAAATCTGTTGATATTGGTGAAGGGTCTGAGATTCAGTGGTCTGCAGTTTCCCTGTGACTCAGAATCAGCTCTACTGTGTAGATCATCTGGAGGAGGCAAACTGAGGTATCCAAGACTCTGAGCTTTGGTTGTAGCTTTGTTGCTCCAGCTGAGCAGCTGCTGGTATAACTGTGCTTCCTGTATGTTTGCAAACATGCCAGGAACTTGGGAGCCTGGTACTGGTCCCTCTGATTTGCTTCCTCACCTCAGGCTGGTCTTCATGTGGCCGTGGCTCCACTTCCCCTGTGCACTCTCCTGCTCCCACCTGGATGCCCAGTCCAGCTTTCCTTTGAGCACTTGCCAACAGGAAATCAGCTGGCCTTACATTTATCTTTGCAGTATGTGTTTGACTACCAGCAAGGAGATGTTTTTGGCTGTGTGGCCGACATTGGCTGGATCACAGGACACAGCTATGTTGTGTATGGACCACTCTGCAATGGAGCCACCTCTGTCCTGTTTGAAAGCACTCCAGTGTACCCTGACCCAGGTGAGGAAGTGGTGGGAAGAGGTTTGGCTAGATGTGGCAAAAGAGGTTTAGAGACCTGTCCAGCGTGACCTGCCTGCTCAGGAGAGGTAAGCTCCATTGCTTTGGATCATGTGTATACAACACTCAGGAACATCTGTAAATCCAGGGTAGGAAAAAAAAGCTGTCATTGCTTTTGCTTTGAACTCACAGTAGTAACAGCTCCAGCTTTGACTGTTAACCTTTCAGCTGAGCATTTGCAGCAGTATGTCAGTGCTGGAAGGTTAAAAAGCCAGTTTGTGACTTTGCAGGTCGTTACTGGGAAGTGGTGCAAAGGTTGAAAATTAATCAGTTCTACGGAGCACCTACAGCGATACGCCTGCTGCTGAATTATGGAGAAGAGTGGGTGAAGAAATATGACAGATCTTCGTTGAAGGTTTTGGGTTCAGGTAAGGGACATGAAACCTTCATCTGAAAAAGACAAAGGGTTCTATCTGATGAAATGAAGATGCCAGAGGAGCTCAGCTGATCACATGGGATGTGGTTAGAAAAAAGATGATAAAGCAGGCTCTGTATCTGGCTTTTCAAATATTTTCTCAGCAGAAGAAGTAACAAAATCACATTTTGGGTCCATTGAACTTCTGTATGATTGCCTGTTTCCTAGATTATTTTGCAGGATCACGTTCTTGGCTAAAAAGATATACCTAATGCTAAAGGGCATTGCTTTGAATTTTACTGGCATAGGTGACCCAAGCAGCATTTTCCTGCATTATTTTCTAAACTGGAGGTTCTTATTACATGACCTGCATAGATTAGTTACTTTCAGTGGTATTCATTGCTTGCCTTTTGGTTCTTCTGGAAAAAGTCAGTCCTCAGTTACATGAGTGCATCGCAGTTCTTTGTGCATCCCAGGAAAGGTGTGCTGAGCGTTCTGCTTGGAGATCATGTGTTCAGCTTGTTGTGCACCAAGAGGGAGAATGAGCTGCCTGCAGTTCTCCTGGGTCTCAGGTTGTTTTCTTTCTTGTTTTGGTCTAGTGGGAGAGCCCATCAACAAGGAAGCTTGGCAGTGGTTCTACGAGGTGGTGGGAGAAGGGCGCTGTACCCTTGTGGACACGTGGTGGCAGACAGGTAAGAGGCAGACTTGGGGGGCACAGGGGACCCTGACCATTGACAAGTTGCTGGTGGGGAGAGAGGAACTAACACATTTCAATTTTATCCAACAAGTCTGTCAAAAAAACCCTTTTGGTATTTGGGTAAGTTTTTGAAAGTCACTGGGAGTTTCTGCACATAACAGCAATGTTATGTGCAGAATGTCTTTTACAATGTGTAAAAGCAATAGCAGTGTTGGGTGTTTTGTTTTCCTCTAAATGTTCTTTGGTATTTTGAGTGCTGGAAAATGCCAATTGCTGCTAGAAATATGAGGCAGAGATGGAATTTCTGGGCAAAGCTGGCAATAGTCAGCACATAGCCACAATCTATACTTAGGTGTGCTTTGTTCTCCTTTCTGGGAATGATCAGGGAAGCATGGAAAACTAAGCTGTGTAGTCAAAGGGACCTGATGCAACTGCTCTGGCAGATTGGAAGGGAGTGAGTGGAGACTTGCTGGGTGCCCATCAGATGGCTGGAGGACAGTGGCCACCACCCAGCAGGGCTGCTGAAGAGCACTTTCTCCCATGATTGAATTGATATTCTGTAGTTGCGGTGGCCCTGGAGATCTGATGCCTCAGAAAGGATGCACTTGTGTATTGACAACATGCTTGGCCCATCTGTGTGCATCAGTTGAGGTTTTTTTGCTGTGTACAAGCTGCTGGACACAGTGACTGGCTGTCTCCAGTCCAGTTGGAGCAGAGCTGGCCTCTTCCTCCTGGTCTCCCTGGCCAGCAGCAGGGAGAGGCCATGTGCTGTACCCAAAGTGGGGTTGTACTGCCTGGTGGGGCCCTCTGCTTGAAGAAGTCCTGCAGCTCCTTCCTGGCTCCTTCTTCAGCACTCAGTCCTCTCTTCTCTGGGCACCAGCACTCAGGAGTTGCTAGAGGTGTCTTGCAATATGTCCTTCCCAAGTTATGAGATACAGTTTGCCATGGAGACAGAAGCACAGCTGCTGGCATTCTGCCTCTGCTGAAAAATAGTCTTAAACTACCATTGAGCAGCATATTCATTCCCTTTCCAGTCAAGCTGCTCCTGATTTCGTCCTTTTTCCTGCTAGCAGGCTCTCTATCTCAGTGTGATAAATTTTCTTCTGGCACGCAACCAAGTTCCATTTAATCCAGACCAGACTTGCAGCCTCTTTTTTTTAATCTTCAGATTTGAAAAAAACCACCTCAGAATTCAGAGCAGCAATGTTAACTGCTATCTACTTCACCTACTAATTCCTTAAATCTTTTGGGTTCCTATATACTGAGCAGAAGGAGAAAGACGACTGGCTAGGTCTTTCCTCATCATATGCTTTTTCCTTACTGCTCTGAAGAAAAAACCGTGGAGAAGCTGTTGATTACTGCACATTGATGTAATTGAGAGGAATTCAGTTTTGCCCTAACACTTTTTGGTTTGTTTAACTGGTGCATGCAGTGTTCATGCTGTGTTGTCTATTTCCTCCGAAGTACAGTATTAGATCTTGTATTAAACTGTATCTCTTCTGGGATTTTTGTCAGGTGAGAGGTTAAAAAACACTCACTGGACAGTCTGTTAGTGCAGAGTACTTGGTCTTGCCTTGAACCAGGCATAGTTTTGTAGGTAAACAGTTACCAGCTCCTGGAAGCATAATTAGCAATAAATATTCATGACATTGATTTTTATTAGAAAGTGGAATCAATATTTTTCTACAGTTGCTGCTTTAATAAAGAGGAAGCCAATTTAATCTTGGGAAGATTATATATGCCATTTAAACATAAAAGGAACGTGGGAAGAGATCACAGGAGCAGTGTGATGGATTCTGGCTGTGGTCCTGCAGTGTCACCTTTTCTATACAGTTTCAGAATAGCTGGTTAATTGTGCTGCTGTGTGCAGTGTCCTCCACGGGACACTGCTCCTTGAAGCAGCAACCTGTTGCCATCTAATAAAGCCTGGCAGGCATCAGCAAATGGTGATTTAAGAATCGACTTTAAAGTCTTTGGATGAGGCAAATGAGTAGAGAGCAATTATGAGAAGTAATTTTAATAGTGAGGTTGTGCAGATGAAAAATTCCTATGGATTTTGCTGTTAAAATACCAGATTATGATTGACAATAATAGAATCAAAGCTGTGTTTGAGTTTTAGATATAGTTCTTTGTGAGGCAGAAGAGGCACTAGGTATTTTCACTTTTGTCACTGATTTCACAAAAACAAACAAACAAACAAACAAAAAAATAGCCAGGAAAAGAATCTGGTTTTGAAAGACATCTCGGAATACGCTCTGGAAGCTTTCGTTGTTGGCATCGTCTCACATTGATTTAGACTAGGCTGGTGCTTCTGGAACAGATTCCCCCCAAGGCAGTCACTCCAATCTGTCTGTGGTGGCAGAGAGCACTTGCTCTATTTTGCTGCCAGATAGGATCTCTCCATGGCAGAGGGCTGCCTTGTTCAAAGCACCCATCCCCTGCTCAGAATCTGCTGTCCTTGTCCAAAGTCTGGGTGGGTTTGTACTGTGTTGACAGGGTGGGCACAGGTAATGTGGAAGCACAGCTTTTCTCTGCCAGCTCTGCCTCTGAATAGAAAGGCTTCTTAAGGGCAGGGAAGAGTATAGAAGTTTTGCTTGATGTCATCTGCCAGTGGCTAAAATTGGTACTTCTAAACCAATTTATAATAGGTCTTCACCGTGCAAATAATTTTTAAGGCACCCTTGCTACCGTGCAGCTCCCTCAGGAGTGAGACTTTACTGCCTGGTGTGTGGCTGGCTGCAGGATGTGGAGGATGTGGAAAACACCTTGTTGAAACACATCTCTCAGTGCTGTGTGTAGGATGAGTCCTGGCTTTGCAAGAGCAACCTTCAGTTCAGTCAGGGTCCCTGTTCTGATGCACATTTTTTCTGTGCAAAGAGAGGACAGCAGGTGTCTGGGGTGCTTCTTCCTGGAACAATTCAAGCTTCCCTTTTCAAAATTTACATGAAAGAAACATGAAGTGAATGCATGCCCATTGATGAAATGGGAAATACTTCTATGTGCAAGCCACATGTGAAACCATTTGCTACAGATCTAAAGCTTAAGGCCATCAGACACCCTTCTTCAGAGCTGGGTGCAAATTCAGGGTCAAAATCAGCCATTCCAACCCCTCGTTTCGATTTTCACATACTCAGCAGAGCTGATAGAGGAATGCACTCTCTGTGTGGCAGAACATACCTTTATTTATAGAGCTGTATTTTTAAAAGCCTTAGTCTCCTTTGTTTTTGTTTCTCTCTTGTGTTTCTGAATTATATTTAGAATAGAAAAGACATCATTAAGTGATTTAATGTTCATCCCAGCAGGAATGAAGAAGAATGATTAAAAGGTTCAATTTTGACTAGAAAATAAGCTCAACCTGCCTGTAAGGGGTGGGTTAATCTCATACTCCATAATAACAATAATTCTGACTCCTGAAGGGCTTTTCCTGCTAACCTTAGACAGCTGTAGAAACACTAGAGGGAAATAAATCCCTGACATGCTTATGCTTTCCCTGTAAAATCACTTCTGGTTAGGATGTGGGGTGCTGAGTACTGCCTATGCCAGGCCTGTGCTTCTTTCAGATGTCTGTTCTTCTTCCCAGTGGCACTTTCTTGCAAGGTGGCTTCATTGTTTTCTTCTTCACCTAAGAAGAGCTAGAATTTGCTTTCACCTAGCAGTGGATGGACTACATATATTTTGTTTTCCAATTTTCTTCCAGAAACAGGTGGCATCTGCATTGCCCCACGGCCCTCAGAGGAGAAAGCTGAGATTGTTCCAGCTATGGCTATGAGACCTTTCTTTGGGATTGTGCCTGTGCTCATGGATGAGAACGTGAGTTGGAGCTGTGCTGGGTGCCCAAATGAGAAGCTGGTGTGTGTTTCTGCTTTAATCATCGTTTGGATGGCAAAGGACCAGGATCCAGAAGGATGCTTGTTTCTCCTTAAAAATGGTAGAATAGATGAGCAATTTATATTTATATATAAATATATGTATATAGAGAGAGCATGTCTCAGTTGTCTGTACAGCTTTGCCAACAGGGCATTGCAAGTCTCTAGAAGTGTTGTTTGCATTTATTTTCTCTACTTGTGACCCTCCACTGGCAGTCTGTAGTGAGCAACAGGGTGACTCTTGCTGGTCAATGACACAGAAGCTCCTTATTATTCCTCTTTTGTTCACCTATTCATCCTCCCTGTACTTGAACCTGCAGGGAGAGGTTATAGAGGGCAATGACGTGTCTGGTGCACTCTGCATTGCCCATCCATGGCCTGGCATGGCAAGAACAATCCATGGAGATCACCAGCGCTTTATTGATGCCTATTTCAAAGCCTACCCAGGTAAGGAAAATGCCAAGGGAAGGCAGTTTCACTGCAGTATAAGCAAACTGAATATTTTCAGCAGTACTTTCTGCTATTTCTGTACCATGGTGGCTTGGGTTGTTTGTCACAGGTTGCAAGCATGCCCTGATGGTTTTAGGCAGCATTGATCTTTCTAGCTGTCAAAAGGGATGTGTTTTCTAGAAAACTTTAATGCCCAAGCTTTAAAGTCCAAGTACCTTTTCTATGGAGCTTTGTATCTCACTTGGAAAAAGGCATATTGGATGGGAAATACCTCCTGCATCACTGAATCTTAAGACTGTGTTGCAGCCTTCCTTTTTAAAATATGTTCAAGTTGTCTGGTAAATAACTAGAAGTGGCAGGGAAACGTTTTTGGTAGGACATTTGACAAGACAACTGTCTTCACTCAGGAGAAGAAACTGAAAGGGATTTGAAAGCTACAGTGTAGGCAAGAATTAGACAGGCAATCATGAAAATTGTACAAAATGAGCTGGAAAATAAGAATGGGAAACTGGTGCAAAAAAGTGAATGACCCCATAGTCTCTCATTACTCACTATATTTGCATCTGATGTCTTGTTGATATTTAGTTGATAGTTGTTTAATTGATTTGGAATGGCAGAAAACATGATTGAAAGTCTATGAATAGGGTAATAATGGATCCTGGCAAGAACCACCTTGAGATTTCACAGCAGTAGCTGCCTGCTGCTTCTAAGATGTGCCACTGGAACAATTCAGATCCAGACATGGGCTTGGTGAAGAGCCAACACAATCTGTGTTACAGGATGTTCCTCAGTGACCCTGAAGTTTCCAGGAAACCCTGGGCCTTTTCCAGTTTCCATCAAATGTTTTAGACCCTCCATGCTTATCATTAGGTGGTTTGGAGTTTTTAGCTAATCCAATTAGCAGTGTTTCTCCCACTTTTACATGCTAGAGAGTTACTGTTATCTGGGATCTGAATCTTCATTAGCTGGGAGGAAAAATGGCTTTTCACCCATCCTAGTGTAAGTGATTAAAAAAAACTGGCAGTGTTCCCATGTACAAAATGTAATAGAGCTGCGCCCTTTCAGCTGAACAGCTCTAGTTTTCCACTGTGTGCTACCAGCAGCAGTTCTGAGCTTGACCAGTAGCCTGTGGCATGATGGCAAATGGCATTGGAAGTGGTTTTACCTTAGTACTGTGTGCACCAAGAGGTGTGAGCACACAGCTGCTGTGCAGATGTAGGCATGCAAAGCCTAGAGAGATCAGAGAGCCCCTCTTGGTTCTGTAAATCCAGCTCAGCATGGCTGGGTTGTGTCACTGGGCTTGGTTTTACTACAGAACGACAGCCACTGGCTGCTGCTTTTTGCCTACAATCTTAATAGAGACCTGAATTTCACCATCTTGGTGCTATTCAGGTGCTTATTAGGGGGCCAGCACAGCCCAGGTAGAGTAGAGGAGAGCAGGGATGGCAGAGCGAAGTGGGACATGGTGGGAGGCAGGTCACACAGCTGCGAGCTTGCGAAGGCCTGGGAGCTGCCCAAAGCACCCTGCCCGAAGTCACCCTCCTACAGCATGGCCTGTCCTGCACCAGAGCCCAAGAGTGGCACCCTTGCTGCTGCTGATCAGCCCTGTGTCTTTGCTGCAGGCTACTACTTCACAGGGGATGGTGCTTACAGGAACCAGAAAGGCTATTACCAGATAACAGGGCGCATGGATGATGTCATTAACATAAGTGGACACAGGCTGGGGACGGCAGAAATTGAAGATGCAATGGTAAGTTCCAAGCAGGTGGAGGTCCCTTGACAGGGCATATCTGTGGGGTAGGGTGACCCTTTCAAAGCAGCTCTGTCTCTTGCCTGCGAACCCCTGCCCCTGCATAGATGCAGCTTGATGCACAATGAATAGCAAATGTGCAAGAGGAAACAGCTCCCTTGTTGAGGAGACAACAAATGAGCAAGTGAGGGGAGCCACACTGTGGGCAGTCCCTGCAACTGAGCTGTCAGAGCCGTGTTTCTTCTCAGCGATGCAGTTGGCATTTTGGATGCTGGTGGACACTTCATAAGTGTCTCTCCTATTTCTTCCTTCTCCTCTGCTGACCTCTGATTCCTAAACCTGTGGTTCCTACTTATGAACTACTTGAATATGCCTGAGAATTCAGCAATGTTAAACATAAAGCAACACTGGTTTATGTCAGCTGCAAAGCTAGCCTGTCATTTTGAGAGAAAAGAATATTATCTCTGGGAATTGAAAACAAAATGTCCTCAGAGGGTTTATATTTAAAGCTTGACCTGTATATTTATTTCTATATTATGTGCCTTGCTTGCAAATGGCACATAAATGTAATATCTGATGAACCTGAGTTGTGTTCACATGGAACACAGGATCCTACTTTATCCTCTGTGAGTAATTCTTTTGTCTGTGCAAGTTGTTGATCATAGCTATAGAATCCAGTTCCTCTCACAATCTATGTATGTGTATGAATGTGTAAAAAAATTATATTTATGTGTCTAGATTGCTCTGTGATGTTTGCTTTCATATTTTAATCTAATTTAAGGTAACATGATCGATTATTGGGTGTGGGATGCAGATATGTGTTTTTTTCTGGTTTGTGCACTTCTTACTGCAGAAGAATGTTAAATTAAACTCTAAAGTGCAACAGAAGTAATCACTGTTGTGTAGCATAGTAACAAAAATGCATTTGGGTTAAGGAGTGAAGAAATCTGATTCTTTCTGCCTTCTGGTGTGCTTTGGGCATGTATAAATGCAAGTTCAGCGTGGACTGTGATGTTGACGACTTCATTTTTTACCTCTGCTGGCCACAGATCTCTGTAGCACCGAGCAGTGCAAGACTGGTTTTGCTTGTGATTTGGCAGTGGCCAGTTGCCATTTGAGACCACAATCATGCACAAAGAAAGAGAAGGAGGGTTTCCAGCTGTTAGAAATCCAGCTTGGTGTGCAGTAGGCTTAACAGTGGATGTAGGAGTAGTTATTTTTGTGTATAAGAGCTGGGCTAGTACAGAATTATTCCCATAGAGATGGCTGTGGCCATGGCCACCAGCTGACCCTGCAGCAGGAGGTTGGCATCTAGGTTTCCTGTTGTGCTTTCAGCAGGATCTGTCAAGGGGAGAGCAAAACATGGCAAATTGTTTTGTTTGTAGAGCAACTGGCACAAAATCTGTAGGGCTTGAAACAGTTCTGATTTATGTATTTTTGCTTAACTTTTTGTGAAGGCTGATCATCCTGAGGTCCCTGAGACAGCTGTGGTTGGGTATCCACATAAGATCAAAGGAGAAGGTATGTGAAAAGCAGTGTCCTGACATAATATCTGCATATATTTCCCTTAAATTCTAAGCCAGGCTGCATGCTAGCAGTTGCTGAGGGAATGGGAGGGCAGTTATCCTTAGGCTGACTGGCATTGCAGCCCCAAGAGACAAAGACAGCCATGAAAATAGCTACATGTTCCTAACCTGGGTGTTACTCCCTGAACTATTTTCATACATTGTTCATGTATATGATAGAGCTTCCTTTTACAGGATTGTGCTTAGAAATGTCCTTTGATCCCAGTAACACTTTGGTAATTTATGTTGACTTGTCATTGTCACTGGCATCAGTCACAGGTGCCAAGAAAAGGTTGGGCCATCATTTGAGGGCTGCAGTCTGACTTGCTTTTGTAAAAAGATCAATGTTTTTCTTGTCACTCTCCAGATAGTGCATAGGAATGATTTGAAACCTTCCTTGGCATACAAATGAGCATCCTTGGTCTTTCCAGACCCAGTATCTTTCCAGTATCTAATATGATGTTTGTGGCTTCTGCTCATTTGTCTTCCAGGTGCCTTTGCTTTCATAGTACTAAAGGAGCAGACAGCTTGTGTAGACCGTATCAAAGAAGAGCTCAAAACTATAGTGGCTTCCAAGATAGCAAAGTATGCTGTGCCTGACCACATTCTGGTAAGTGGGAGACTGAAACTGGTACCAGCAACAGGAAATGGTGACATCGAGCAATGCTCAATGTCCTGCCTGCATAGCTGCTGTTGTCCTGCTCTGGCAGGACAAAGAGTCAGGAAAACAGAATTGGCTGGAGGGATCCAGGGAGGGGGGAGGGCAGGTGCAGTGCCTTTCTCACTTGCAGTGCATGTGAGAAAGGCACTGAGAGGCAGTGACACTGCCCAGTTAGCTTGCAGTGATAATTAGCATCAACATCAGACCTCAAAGCACACTGACTGTTTCTGTTGCACAACAGGCCTGGCCCTGGAAGCACTGATGAGCTCCAAGCTCTGTCTCAAGCCTCCTCACCTTTCAGCAGATCCCTTTATATGTTAGGGGAGAGTTCACAAAGTTGCTCCTTAGCTGTCCCCCAAGGTCTGTCTGCATCCGTTTCTCTCTTCTTGGAGGCAGTGACCAGATACTTCTTGGAGGGGTTCTGCTTTAGCCACATGCATGTAAGGTGGACACCAAGGCACAGGCAACAGAATACAACAGGAGCACCCAAGAGTGTCTTCTTCAACTTGTAACAGACCAGGATATCCTCAGTGGATTGGAGAAGCTTCCAGAATTTGCAGGTGTGCAAGGGAATGCCTCCATTTCCCTGTCTTTTGGGGTAGTCCTGCAGAGAAGTCCTCCAACGCTTTCCTTGCATGTCAATTAATGTTATAGAATTTTGTAGCCTACTGGCCTGATTGCATAGCAAAATGTGAGATCTGTTGGTGTCTCTGCTCAATGTCTGAGAACTCTTCATCAGGCTCACATTTATGATAAAGCCTTTGAATTTGCTGCTGAGACCATCCCAGGAGGCATAGCCAAGGCATTTAAGATTGTTCTGGTTATGAAGGAAGGTGTGTAGGCTGAGAGATACCAGGCAGAGAGAAACATTAGCAGACTGGAGATATCCCTTGAGTAGGAGACCCTGCAGCTGATGTGCAAAATTGTTTTGCTTTATATTCCTGCTCTGTAAAGCAGAATATATATATATATATATTTCTGTCTGTTTTGGTAATGCGTTGAGATTTGTGTCACCATTTGTGCCTGAGTTTTCACGTGTAATTAGATTTTAATAGTTAACAGGATATTCAGGATCTGATTCCTAAAAGACCTGTACATCCTGCAGCACGCAGTCTGGACATGGCAATGGGGAGCTGCAAAGTCCACTTAAAATAAGAATAAAATGTATGGCTAGCACACTCCTTTCCTTGGATGTAATCTATTGTGCTCCATGAACTATTTCCCAGGAACCTCAAAGGAGCTGTGGCCATGAAACAGTGGGCCAGGCTTAGGATAGTCCAGCCAGATTTCCTTGTGGTTTCCAGCAGGACTCAAATTCTATTAAAGGTGCATCCTTCCCTTCTTTGCAGGTGGTAAAGCGCCTCCCTAAAACCCGATCGGGGAAGATCATGAGAAGGCTGCTGAGGAAGGTAGTCACTGAACAATCAAGCAACATGGGAGATGTCACCACACTTGATGATCCAAGTGTTGTCAGGGAGATACTGGATGCTTACCAGAAATACAAGAAGAGTTCCTCATAACAGACGGCTCTGGAATTTCTCTCCTTCGGAAATGTGGAAGGTCTCAAATAACCAGGCAAACAACATAGTTCTCTCTTGGTGATATTTTAAAAAACTGTTTCCTTCTAAGAGAACAAGATCTTCCACTCCATGACATTTTTTAAGATGGCACAGGGAAAGAAGCAGTCTGCAGTTTTCCACTGTCAGTAAACTGCTTTTCCTTGCACTCAGGGCTGTTGTAGAGCAGATGTTGGTGGTTCCCATGAGCTATGCTGAAATTTAACATGAGCTAAAGCAAGATGCAGATACTCTTCTGAATGTTTCTCTTTTTAATGTTACTGTACAGGGAAAGGTTTTTTACACGATACTTCTTGCTATTTTAAAAGAAGCCCTGGAAAACACTGCTTCAATTTTTCCCTTCAGCTCGGAGTCTAAGCAGCTCTATTTCATTGCAACTGTGGTACCTTTTCAGGAATTCTGGGTATTCTAGTAGATGTTTCATATGCATTACTAGGAACATGAGAAGGACATGGCTAGTCTGATAATTCTTCCTTGACTGTACCCATTATTCTGATATCTCATTTGGCTTTCCTCATATGGATTTGTTCCTACCACCATGTGTCCTGGGACTTCCCAGAGATGGTGAGCCTGTGACCCTTCATGTGCCACCTAGGTAACCCAGCACCAGCACCTGTGGCTGCAAAAAGGAGCCACAAAGCCCATGACTGGACTTCCTACATATCCTCTGTGTATTGCTGCCATGCTGATTTACCAAAGAGTTAAGTGCCATGTGGGTACCCACAGACTGCACAGGACACTAGAAAATGTGCCTCTTGCCTTTCCAAAAGTGATAGTAGCATTCCAGACCAGCAACCTCAGAATAGAAAAGAGGGGAAGAACAGCCTTTGTCTTTCCTATGCTTTCAAAATTGCAATTAATGTAGTCAGTGTTTTATTTCTGGATTCATTTTATCATGACCACATTCCAGTTGAAGCTCTCCTTACATTTGGGCTGTACAGAAGAATTTGCTTGTGGAACTACTTATTCCTGAATTTATTGGAGCAACACTGCTTTTTCAAGAAGGACAATTTGTGCACCTAACTGGAGGCGGGAAAGGCAGGAGGGAAATGGGTAGGTGATCTGTAGGACTGGGAAAGGTGTGGGGAGTTTTTTGGCAAGCAGAGATTCTGGTGCCACAATGGGAAACAAGCTGCTTGAAGTATGATATGTTCTCAAAGACAGGTGTGTTGTCTTAAATCCCAGAGTTGCTCCAAGGACACCAGCTGCATTTGTTTTTTAAAAAAATATTTTAAATGCCTCTAGGGACTGAATAATACAGTAAGGAATACATGCTTTGTTAAATATCCCATCCTTCTGACTGAAATGCATTTTACATAAGGTAAGTAGACACCCTGTGGACTTTCTGGGAAGGTTTGAAGGTTTGGCAGAATATTAGTATTTTAGGAGATAGAGACTACTTTATTGCCATTGCAATGATAAAACAAACAAACAAACAAACAAACAAACCAAACCTGTTTCCTTAAGTAATTTTCAAGTGGGAATCAGACAAGAGTTAATGTTTCTGACAGAAAAAGTACACTCACTTGTTTAAACAAGTTGTCTCCTTGCAGTCTGAAATAACAGTGTGGAGGAAGAAAATTACTTTTGAACAAGATGACACACTTTCCTTTTAATCAAGAAAGCATTTATTATATTATGGACATAGAACTTCCTTGTCTTGTTGACTTGAAATTTCCCTGTGTGTTGTCGCGTTGTACACAGACCCATGGTTTAATTCATTTGAACTGTCTCACAAGCACTGTCTGTGTGAGGAGCAATGTGCTTTGGTGCATTGGGACATTTGTCATCCAATTCCTCTGCTCAGGGAAAATGAGAAATGGGTGCACTCCCTCACCTGCATCCCTGTTGTCTCAGCTTGCATGGGCTAAGGGACCATGGCTGCCAGGGAGGTTCCAGGCTAACTGGAACTTCCAGGAAGCTGCAGAAGCAGAACGAATTCACAGCTGTGGTGCAGACAGAAAGTTGTGGATATCCCATCCCTGAAAATGTGAAGGCCAGATTGGAGGGGGCTATGAGCAGCCTGGGCTAGTGGAAGGTGTCCCTGCCCATGGCAAGGGGGTTTAACTAGATGATCCTTGAGGTCCTTTCCATACAAACCTCATTTCCACAGCTGAGCTGTGGTGCTTGGGATGCCCATCTGCTCAGAGGCCCACTTGGGATATTCCAAGAGAGCAGGTGGTGCATCTGTGCTGCCCACATGGTGTTCTGCAGTGGACTCAGCTTGTGCTGGTCAGCCTCAGTCTCTGGGTAAAACTACACTTCTGCAAGTGTCCCAGCATTGGCTCTTGGAGCTTACAGCCTGTGCCCAGCCCATGCAATGGCACCCTGAGTCTGATAAAAACAGAGCTAGGCAGGGCTTGGAGAGAGCACTTCTTATGAAAAGAAGGATTCTGTGCTTTACTGAGTAGGCTACTCATAGAAAGCTTTAAATTGAAATTAAAATTTTACATTTTCCTTCCAGAGTTTAAAATTTCCATCCAGAGAAGTCCCTATTTCTTCTTTCTACCCACTATGTCTGCTGGCTGCAGCAGTTGTCTCTTCACTGCAAGCTTGAGTTGAGCTTTGCATTTTCATCAACAACAGCATGGGTGTGTGGTGACAGTGCTTTCTACTTCATATGCAGGGAGGGATTCAGCCCACAGAACTGGAACTGGTTTCCTCAGTGCCTGAAATGCCAGGAAGGAGGAATTTTCTGAGGTACCCCAGAAACTTAGCAAGGCTCTTAAGACAAGCTGATCTTCACGAATCAGTGGTCAGATATCAGTGGGATTGTGGGACAAATTTGGGGGCAATTGCTTCATTTAGAAAAGCAGAGTTGTTGAATTTTTCTAAACCTTCGTGTGTTCATGGGTGATGTATGGGCTGTTTGTCAGATTGCCTTTGTAGCTTCATTAAAAGAGATCCAAAATCAATTTTACCTGCTGCCATTTATTGAAAAGGGCCAGTATGCTTTTGTTGCCCCACTCAGTTTGCCAGTAAGACCTGCTCATGGTGCTTTCCCCCCAAGGTGGAGACACAGACCATGATTTTTCCAGTTGTATAAAGGGAAAGCTCCATCTGTCTAGAAGTATGTTTTGAACAGTCTAGTGTAAAGTCTTTAATTGAATTTTGTTTACTTGTAATCATGCTTTAAACACATTTCTTGTCCTTTACCAAAACCAGTGTCTTCATTGATCTCTATATTAATATTTTCAGTAGAAGAAGTAGGTGTGATGGGTTGGCTTTCCATTGTGGGTGTCAGACCTTCTATCCTGTCAAGGAGCTGGGACTTGCTTAGTTCTCTGAACTTTCAAAGAAAGGCAAAGGAATTTGAGATCAAAATGAATTGTGATCCAAATTGCTGTTTTACTTTGCTCCTTTTCTCTAAGCAGTAGCTCAGAGGAAATGAGTTAATACCAGAAAACTGCCACTGCAAAAAAGAGCAAAGTTGAAGAATGTTTTGATGTCAGTAAGCTGCACATCTCCTATAAATCCTGAGATCCCACTGCTTTACACTTTTTCCTGTGCAATGCAAACAGAGAATAAGGAGTGGGAATATTTAATTACCATTAGTTGATTATGGATAGTTTAGCTCTTTGCTTTGTGCATACCTTGCACAAGTAGAAAAGGAGTGAAAGCAGGGTGTGTGTGGACAACATAGAGATAGCATTGTGTAGAAAGTGTATAGCTGTTCTAGAGTCAAGCAGATGAGCAGGAATTTCTTTCCAGGTGCCTCTGCAGGACGTCTCTACCATTAAGAAGTGAGAAATACTGAGTTTCACCCTCTGCCTACCCTGTGGATAAAACAACAGATATAATGAGGGGATGAACACCGTTTGCCTTCTATCTCCAGCAGCTGCTTTTGGAAACGTTCCAGTGCTGCTTGTAGCTCTTGCAACCCTCTGGCAAGTCACAGAAAGGTCTAGACAGAAAAGCAGGTGTCCATCTCCTCACTTAGTCTCTCAATGTTACAGCTGCTCTGATCTATTTACTGATAATTTACGGTAAAAATGGAGATTGTTTTCTGGTCTAACACGATTATATTTAAGGGCTGTCTCTGTGACCAATTAAAGCTACAGAAATTGATTTCAGCAACAGGTTTCTGGTTTTGAATTACACAGGAACAGATGATCCTTTTCCACCTTGAAAACAGACAGTTCTGGACAGGGAATTGTCTTCTGGCTGACTCTAGAGGTGAAGCATGTTTTTCATGGCAGTGACCCCAGTCTGTTTTGTCTGGGATAGAAGGATCTGGGGACATAACCACCTTTTGCAGTGGAAATTATCATGGCTGTGCAAAAATTACCAGTGTACAAACAATGGCAATAAAATCTGCTGTGGCAGATCATTATTACCCTTGCTTCTATTTCTCTATAGTTGTTGTGTATCTGCCTTTACTCCTGGTGTCTGAGCTGACAGCTTACTTTGGCTTTTGGGTGTGTTGGGGCTGGGAGAGTAGAACCCAGTGTTTGCCAGGATAATGAATTCCTGCATAGCTGGATCAAGTAATTCTGGATTCAGCTCCAGCTCTTTGTGGGTTGCATGATCATCGACAATTCTGCCTTTCCAGAAATTATTCCACAGTTTCATTTCATAATCATTTGAAGCTTTTAAACTTCACATTTTCAGTTTGCTTTTAGGGAAAAACACTTCTGGGCCCAGTGCAAACTGTAACTTTTCGACAGCAAAGTCCTCCTGGTTGCCAGCTTCTGATGTAACAGAAGAAACTGCATGTGAATGTGTTAATTAGGTTTCCTGAAGGAAAAACTCTATGTCATGTGGCTGATTGTTTGCTTAGCTATGGGTCTAGTCCTGGCCTAGTAAAGCCCAGGCAGGGTGGCATGTTGCAGGGAAAACTAGTCCGTGAGTTTATGGGATTGCTATCAGCAGCAGAGTGAATGTGTCCTTTGGGGATTTCTTTGGAGACAAAAATCAGGGACCTGCACCATGCTGCAATATTCTCTTAGATATTTCTAAAATATCCTAGAAAAGGCAGAAAAGGCAGAAGAAACTTCACATCTCCTTGCACAGCCACGGTTTGAATAGGGGCATTCTTGTTCCTCCTCAAAGCCATTGCTTTTGCACACCAGAAAGACGAACATCCACAAACAGGAATGATGCCTGGTCCTCCTGCTGCTGCTTCAGAGCACTGGGAAGTGCAGACCTGGGTATTACCAATGTGAACACTTAATTAGCATTTTGTACTCCTTCAAGATATCCAGATCTCAGGGCATTTTGTCTCAAAGCAGCCACTGTACTGGTTCTAGGGAAGAACAGTAAATGGGAAAGAGCGACTGCCAGCCTTGCAAGGATGTGGGGGAAAACCTGAAGTGTCTGTGTCAAAAGATGAGTGGGAAGAGTGTAATTGCCAAAGCCAAAGCTTCATCAGGATAGCAGGATCAGTTCTTTACTGCATGCTTGCATGAAGGTCATTTGGGATCTCTTTTTTGTGTCTCATGCAGTAAAGGAACTCTTAATAATATAGTGCTACTTAAAAACACATTGGGATATAGCTCTGTAGTGCTTCACAATGAAGCAGACTGCCTGCTTTGTCACTGCCAGCCCTGGTGACCCTGACAGGGACCATAGTGTATCCCATGCCTGTTTTATCTCCAAGCCAAGCTTGATTTTGCTTATTGGTGTGGAATAAATACAAATGTAATAAAATGGACAATTAAATTGGTCACTTTGGAGGATATGCTCATGGTTTCACATATCAGTCCTGTACCTCATGCTCCCAAGGCTTGTCACTGATCATAAAATATTTTAATAAAAAAACCTCAGATCCCATGTTACATCTGAATAAAATTGCATCAGATAATCAAGAATTCTGCTGACAGGAAAAAGAAGAAAGCCTTCTGACTTTCACTTTCAGCTGTCCTGGATTTCTGCAGCTCTTTGAAAAGCTGATGTAGCTGGAGTGTTTGGAGATGGTTTGGGCCTTTATGAGAGCTATGTGGAATAGTCTGCAGGGCTCTGCTAGCAGAAAACTGTTTGTCCGAGCCCATGGACATCATGCCAGCAGAAGCAGAGCGGTCCCACTCCCAGCCCAAGAGTCTTTGAGCTGAGCCACACCAGGGAGAAAAGACACACAGGGGATCCAGCCCAGATGCTTCACCTGCCATAAATGTTCCATGGAGCTCTGTCACTGAGAGAAAGTTGATGCTGGATGAGCCACTGAACTTTCATCTGCTGTAGTAGAACTACTCCATGCTTGCTCCTGATCTTCCTGAGAGAACCTGGTGCCATCTTGTAACACGTGTCATGGGGGGATTTTTCTCCAGTATTTTGGGTCTTTGTTCCAGTGGGGGAACGGTAAGGTCTGGCAGTTTGATATCTAGAAGTTACTGGCCTTTTTTCTTGCTTTGTAGGCATTCTGCTGTTAATAAACTGTTGTTTTTTTTTCCAACAGTTGTAGGTTTTTTCTAACAGGTGTAGGTAACAACTTGTTACACAATACACTGTGTAGTTAGACCTTATTAGCTGGTGGGATACAACTGGTGCTAAATACAGAAAGTCACATACAACAATCTTAATAAAACAACCAACACAAAAGTTAGAATGATTGTTACTGAGTAAAGTTACATTATCTTTATCTATTTCTACAATAGCACATGAAGTCCTCAAACACACACAGCCCTAACCAATATATAGAAGTATATATTTTTTGACTAGTAACTGGGTGAATCTCAAAGTGACAAATGCTTTGCTCAGTATCAAGACATGTTCTGAGCATCAATTGTGTTGCTTTTACAAAGGAACCCTTGTTGTTTCCAGGTAACACAGGATTCTAGATTCACTGTTTGTCATTTCTCATCCCCTCTCCATGTCCCTGTTCTCTATTCCAAAGGATAGAGCTCTCATGATTGAATCCTAATGCTCTAATGGGGGGAATAACATAAACCGTGGCATTGCTTATAGTGAGTACAAAGGCAGTAGCCATGCTAGCAATAGGATCATAAGTAAAATTTATCCAGACAGCTTTTGGAATTTCAATTGGAAAGGCTCCTTCACTTCCTTCTCTTATAATTAAGGCAGCTGTTGACTACAACAATAATTGTGCCTGTATACAGCTAAAAACCAAAGATACATCACTGAGCCATAGCAAGTGCATCTATGATTAACCCATGGTCTTTGTCTTTAGCTTTTTCCCAACTGGGTAACACTTTTGAAACCTGTCACTGACTGGTTCCCAATGCCAACAAAGATGATTGTCAGGGATTTTTAAATTTTATTAGCCTACTTGAAGCAGTGGCAAATTTATTCATTAATATTTCTGAACCAATTCTGTTTAGAACTCCCAGCCCTGTCCCTAATATTCCAGTCAGATCCCTTTGCATTCTGCCCCTGGTGTGTGCTGGCCCTTGCAACCATGTCATCCAACCCTCAAAGGATGGCTTTAGGAAAGAAGTGCAGGCTGGTTGGACTTCAGGGATGTTAGTTTGCATTAGTAATTCAACACGCTTGAGAGACCACTCTGGATTAAACAATAATTGCTGTTAGCCCATGTTCTTTATTACATACAGAAACCCAAAGCAGATCAAACCAACCTCATGGTTTGGACATTGAAACATTCTGACCAAAGGATCAGTAAGCACGCACAAGAAGAGGAAGGGTGAGAATGTCAGCTCCGATGAAGACTATTTACTTCATCCCCTGCAACCCCCAAGGACCCCAAAGAGGACTACCAGAGACAAGTATGCAGGCACAAGGGCTGATAATTTAATTTGCATCAAAGCAGGACAAGGAGGAGGCAGGAAATCAATATGCATAAATGTATTGCAAAACCTAATGTATATGTAACAATTTAGAGAATAAAAAAGAACACTGAGAACAGGTAGATACGCATGCCTTTGCAGAGGAATCCTACATGCGTCTGGCTGAAAATACACACCTACTTTATAACTCACTCTGAGTTTTAGAAACTTTCTGCATATCATTTTGGCGACCCAGATGTGACATTCTCTGCCAGCCATAGGACTGACTGAGTGGCGGACTTCCTAAGATGCCTTCCCAGGATTTTCCCTGGAAGGGATTTGACTTCTCGGATCGCTCACTCTGGGGACAAACAATGACCTCCTGAGCAGTGGAGGAATGGTATTTCTCTTAAAAAGGGGCCCCCTGTAGGGACCACTGATAAGCTGCTCAGAGACATCTGACCACACAGGAAAGGTCCTGGTGGGTTTGGGCTTGCAATCACCTGTTGGTCTGATGTGTGTCCAGCAGGAGCAGGGATTTGCTGACCTGCGGAGTGGCCGCTAGCGGTCCTAGGGGTGGACCGAGCTAATTCCTGTTTGATTGCTTCTCTTTTGGTTGTGTGTGCGTGCGTCATAAAAGTTCGGATGTGTGTTGTTTGCTTGTGTCGGTGCCTGAGCCGCACCTTGGTGCGAAGTGAAGCTGTGGTGTATTTTTGAGGTATTACTACCATCTTGTGTCAAAAGTTACAATTGCAGCAAACTGCCCTGTGCACCGGCAAAAGGGGTGAGGGCTGTTTTACCTTACATATTCTCTTTTACCATGTGCTGTCTTTAGGGCTTGTTTGGTGTTGCTTGCTGGGCTGCTTTAAGGGTTTTTGCGCTTTACTTTGAAGGTCTGTCTATAAGGTTTGTTTGGCTGTGCTTGCTGTGAGTATTGTTTTTAGTGCTTGCTGGAAAGTGTGTTTTAAGGAAAGAGCAAAGGCCTATGAGAGGGCTGTGGGATAGCAGTTGTCCCAGCCTTTGCAAGATGGATGGAAGGAGTCCTTCTCTCCCAGTGGTTTGGACTCGACTCCTGGGAATTCATAACTGCCGAGAGTAATTGGGTGATAAAGGGGAAACAGTGGGTTTATTTAGAGGGGATATATAAGACCTCTGCAAGGAAATTAGCTGCATTAGACTGGAAGAGCCAGCACCAAAGGATTTGAATATCCAGACGAATAGGAGAGGTGAAATCATCTGTCTCTGCAGGCAAGGGGGACATGTTGTGTGGGTGCTGGTTAAGTGCAGGTCCTGCAGAGAGCTTTGGTACTGTTCCTCTGACAGAAATATTGCATGCTCCCAGTGTTGGATGCAGGGTCAGAGAGACCCTGAACTAGAAATTTTAGAGTATTTCTGTGCAAGATTCCATCTAGTCCTGGAGATTTGTAGTGTAAGGGAAGAGGATTGGGAAAAGACTGTGTGAGAATGTGAGAAGAGATTTGAGTGGAAGTGAAACAGGACAAGGAGGAGAAAATAATGGGTTCAGGAGAGAGTAAAGAAATCCCTAGGGCAAGTCCTCTGGGCTATATTTTAACCCACTGGAAGGAAATTACAGGCCTGGGAAACACAGAATCCAAATGCACATTTCTGAAGTACTGCACACAGTGGTTGTCCTTATACAAAATGGAAAGAAGTCGGACTAATGGTGGACATGGGAGCAATATTTTCTGTTTTAAATAAAGCTTTGATACCAGTGGGAAATTATTATGTTAGGGTAAAGGAGGCAACTGGCCAATATAAAACAGCATATTTTTGCAAGCCTCTGAAATATAAATATGGAAAACAATGGGGCATCCGTAAGTTTCTATATGTGCCCAACTCTCCAGAGTCACTCCGGAAGAGAGACTTGCTGGAGAATTACAGGTAACCATTTCATTTAAAAATAGGGAGGTTACTCTGGAGGTGAATGAGTAAAAATATGTAGAAGTGTTGAGTTTAATATTAACAGCTATGGAGGTTAAAGAGAAAATTAGTGAGGAGATAGTGAACCAAGTGTTTCTAGGAGTATGGGCTTCCAATGTACCAGGGAGGGAGAAAAATGCACCCCCAATACAAATTAAGTTTAAGGAAGGAAAACAACCAGTTAGAATTAAACAGTATCCTTTGAGAAAGGAAGATAGAGAAGGAATTAGCCTGATAATTGAAAATTTCTTACAGCTGGGGTAACTGAAAGAGTGCCAATCTGATTTCAACACTCCTATCCTGCCTGTTGGGAAACCTGATGGGTCACACTGGGTCGTGCAGGACCTATGGGCTGTTAACAAGATAACTGAGGATCTCTACTCTGTACACCTTGTTAACATGTTTAACACCAGAGCTAACTTGGTTTACTGTTTTAGATTTGAAGGATGTCTTCTTTTGCCTCCCTCTCCATGAAGCCAACCAGAAATTTTTTGCATTCGAATGGGAACATCCCATTCGATGCAAAACTCAGCTCACATGGCTTCAGAAACTCGCCCACCCTGTTTGAAGAACAACTTGCAAAGGATTTGGAATCCTGGGAAGCTCCACCAGGAGAAGGGAAACTGTTGCAGTATGTGGATGATACCCTAATAGCTACCTCTACAGAAGAAAGGTGAGTGGCATGGACTGTAAGGCTTTTAAACTTTTTGGGGCTTCAGGGGTGCAGAGTACCAAAGAAAAAGGCTCAGGTGGTAAAGCAGAAGGTGATCTACCTGGGTTATAAGTTCAGTGCTGGACAATGAGGAAAGAGCACATAGAATCGATATGCCAAACCCCAAAATCTCAGACCATAAAAGAACTAAGGACCATTTTAGGGATGGCGGGCTGCAGCAGATTATGGATTCATCATTATGGAATACTCGTGAAACTTCCGCATTTGCTCATTGCAAATGGGAATAGAGACCTCCAGTGGACAAAGGAAGCCACACAGGCCTTTGATCAACTGAAAAAGGCCCTTATGTGTTTTGTGATACTTCCCTGGAATTGGAAGATGCTGCAACGAGCAGCAGTATTAACCTCTATATCCTGAGTACATGGCAAGGCACCTGTTGTAGAGATTGGGAAGGAGAATTTGTGCACTAAGTAAAAGAATTTACTGCCTTATAAAAAAAGGGGCACTGAGACATAGGGTGAGGAATTAGAGGGATATTGATTATAAATAGATATTTTGATGAAATATTGTTTAATATTTGCTGAATTTTACTGTGCTAACTGCCTGTAAAGGTAAGACTGGATATACACGGGGGACAGGGTGTACATGCGAGAACCACATGAAAGAATGCAAGGATGTGTGATAAGGGAAGGATGTTGTTCATCAAAATAGGACAAAGTCTCAAGGCTACCAAATACCAAGGTTACTCTGGACCTCCAAATAGATCAAACCAAGTTTGTGGTTTGGACTGTGACCAAAGGGTCACTAAGCATGTGCAAGAAGACAGGGTGAGAAGGTCAGCTCTGATGAAGACTACTTACTTCATCCCCAGGGACCCTGAAGAGGACTACCAGAAACAAGTATGCAGGCACAAGGGACTGAAAAGTTAATTCACATACGAAGCGGGACAAGGTGGAAGCAGGAAATGAATATGCATAAATGTATTGCAAAGCCTAATGTATATGTAACATTTTAGAGGATAACGAAGAATGCTGAGACCAGGTAGACATGCCTTTGTGGAGGTATCCTGCATGTGTCTGGCTGAAAATACATACCTACTTTATAAGTCACTTTGAGTTTTAGAGTCTTTCTGCTTATCACTACCACCTACAACTTGGGCTGTCCTGGCAGAGCCAAGCACCTCCTGCAAACTGACTCACCTGGGCTGGTGAGTTTTGTTTCCCAGGGAAAGGGCCAGTGTTTGTGCCCAGGGGTCTGTGGCCCTGAGTGGGCAGATGCCTCCTAAAATTCCAAACAGCGCAAGATGTGTCCCAGACCCAACCTATCACCACCTACAGCTCAGGGTTCCCTGTGAGTTCCAAATGCATCCTCCAAGGTGACATCTGGAAACTGCCATTTCCATGTGAAACAAAACTCACTCTGCAGGATGGAGGGCAAAGGAATTGAAAAGACTGGAGAGGACTGATTTTCTTAGAGGAAAAAGTGAGCAAGAATGACCTCAATGTAAAAATATTTTCTCTCTCCCTGGCTTTCTGTCTCACGGACAAATATAGCCCTACACATTATGCAAAAGCACTGTTCAAGTATGCTTGGAATGAGCAACTTGGGAGGCAAATTGCTACCACTTGTCCTCACTCTTGCTTTTTGGCTTTGATTTCTTTTTCTTGCTTTGTCTTCTGCCGTCCAGCATGGTCCAGCCTTGATAGCTGCCACAAAGCCACTTCAGAGTGAGTCCCTGAATCAAGAGGACAGAGGGATGTCCAGGGGACAGCTGTCTGCATCCACAATGACAACCACCACTGGTGTTCACAAAATGACCTGAGAGGAAAAATAGATCGAACCAGTGCTGTGGGAAGTAAAGAAGGGAGAAATGGTTGGGTTGAATAATGGAAATAATGGAAAGGTTTTTCCAACAGTAATAAAATGCTGGACTGTGAGCAGGTCTTTCCAGCAGTAAGGAATGCCTGGAGATCTTGCCAACACCCATTGCAGGCCACCCTTAGTTCAGCAATACCTGTCCAGAAAGGCACAGGCACAAGCAGCCATTCCCCCTGACAGACTCACAGCCCAGACCGTTTCCTTACCTCCCTATTTCTGCATCATTTCTTTCTCTTTCACTATGAACATTGCAGAACATTTCTGCTGGGAGTCAAAAGGCTGCCAAGTACCTTTAGCTTTTCCATCATGTCTTGTTTTCCCAGCCTCAGCTATGTTTTACCTGGAGGCTGCAGCTCCCATGGACCTGCTCTGCTGGAGTGGCTTCACTGCTGCTTGTCCTCGGTTTGCTCCTTGGCAGGAGCCAGCTCCGAGGGGACAGAGATGGGTTTTGCAGTCCATAGGCTCCCAGAACAGGAAGATCCAGAAATAAGTTGCCAAGGGTCCCTACAAGAAAGCTGGAGAGGGATTTTTTTTTTACAAGAGTGTGTAGTGACAGGACAAGGAAGAATGTCTTTCAACTGAAAGAGGGTTTGTTTAGGTCAGATATTAGCAAGAAATTCTTCACTCTGAAGGAGGTGAGGCACTGCAACAGGCCACCCACAGAAGCTGTGGATGCCCCATTCCTGGAGGTGTTCAAGCAGCAATACCAGTATCAATAGTAACAGCAACAGCAATGGCAGTGTCCCCCTTGCAAATTCTGGAGTAATCCCCATGGTGTATTTATGAGGAAAAAAAAGAAATAAAAATGAAGAATTCAAATGTGTTCTTCAACCCCAAACTGTGAGGTAGCTGGAAAGAGGCACAGATACCCTTAATGCCCTCAGCTCAGCCACTGTGTGAAGGAGTCAGACAACATCTGCAGGGCTGTCTCTAGGATGTCCTTCCCAAGAGGGAAATGGGAAGAAGTACAACCAAGGAGCTGTAGTCACCCCCATGGGCAATGCCATGCCCAGCATGTGACAGCCCTCAGAGATAGTAAGGGCTGGTGGCCTGGCAGTGCAGAGGTAAGAACAGCCCCTGCCTGCCATTATCCCAGTAGCATTCCCTCTTTTCTTGAACAAGCTTGATGCCGAGAGCATGGAAGAGGTCTCCTCCACAAAGCTAACTGTGTCTGATTTCCAGGAAATCAATCAAATGGGACAAAATTAAAGCAAACAGATCAATCTGCAAACAGAGAGACTTTTCTCAGTCTTTCATAAAATGAAAGTCTTTTCTCAGTCTTTCACAAAAAATGAAAGGAACAATTTTTCCCTTCCCTCAAAAACCCCCTGCAATAATCAACTGACAGCACTGATATTTCCACTCCCAGGAGGGAGGCAGACTGCTGCTGCTCCCAGATTTTCTGTGAATGGGCTGGGAAGCAAAGCAATTAGGCAGAAGATAATAAACCATTCACCCAAACAAAACAACCAGCAAAAAGAGGGGCTGTAAACAAGTCAAGTTTTCTTACCTCCTTGCAGTTTCTGGCAGTTTTGTGATACACCCCCCAGGGCAGGTTTTATGCCTGGTAAGAAGCTTGAGGATGAGGTGGTATTTGCCCACCTAAGGAGTAATTTATGTTTGCAGAATATTAAAAATACTAAAAATTTCCAAGTTTCATACAGAGTTTTTGTGCTTGTAATCTGCAAGAATTGATCCAAAACTGGTGGCTAGCATCAAGCTAGTTTGCAAACCAATTTATGATTCCAGTCCTTGCTGGTGCAATGCCTGCACTACCTGGGCACTGTTAAGACAGACAATAAGCTCTTCCTTGTGATGGCTCTGGTAAAACCCATCTCCATCCCTGTTCTTACCACAAATGTTCCCCAAACACTGTGGCTGTGGCAGGCCCATGGTGGGAGGCAGAGGAGAAGTCAAGGGGGATCCTGGAAGGACCCAAACCCTTCCTGGTGGCCTCATGTTGGAGACCTGCTCGTGGCCAAGGCTGCATGGAAGCAAGAAAGGCTGCAGGGATAAACCTCCCACTACAGGTTTGGCCAGAGAAGTACCATTCAGACACCTCCAAGGGGTTCATAATCATGGGTACAACTTCCCAAGGGATAACAAATCTATCATGTCCTCTTCCACATTGTTTCCAGGTGTTTGAGAGTTTTGATGGAAAAGCTTCCTTTCTCACAGAAATGTCAGCTCTTCTGAAGTGATACGCAGAATAAATAAATTGACTCCACAACTTGGGGTAAGATATGATGTGGGTATGTTTTGTCAGCGCTCGGCACAAGTGAGATCGCTCTCTAAAAACTTGTGCCCCGAGCCTCAGTCTGACCCACACTTTTATTTCCAAAGATGTTCCATATGCAGTACATTGCACAACCTTTCATGCATATTCAACCCCTGACCCCGCCTCTCATGCTAAATAGGTCCACGCCCTTCTGGGCACACATGGTTTGCCATGGTGGTCCTGGTGGGAGTCTCTGGTGGTCTCTTGAGGCTGAAGATCATGGTCTTCTTCATGGTTGAGCTTTTGAACTCTTCTTCTCTGCGTGCGCTTTTGGTCCTTCGGTGCTTATCTGTGTACGTGTGTCAGTCTTGATAGGCTTGGAGACAAGAAAGTTTATCTGAATTCTTTGCATTCTAAGGCATTGTCCTTTGTGCAATAAGCTTCAGAAATTTGCATTTTCTTATGCCCTTTTGTACTTATGGCAAAGGTTTCTTAAGTAAAAGGATAAAATTCAACACAAAACTCTACAAACTAAAATATAAATGCTTAATTCATTTTGTTGATTGAAGTGAATTCCAAAAATCTCTATTTCACTTTGGCAACAAAGAAGCCAGTTTTCAGCCAAAAATATTGCAATGGGGAGAAAATGCTCCCATGTGAGGAGTCTGAGTTCCTGACCGGAACCATACAACCTTGGGCCTGTAGCAGCCATGTGAGTGAAGCTGGAGATCCTGCTCCAAATGTATCCCTTCAAAGAAACTACTTGGCCAAATAGGACAGGACAGGATGAGGAAGAAATAATAAATGCAATGTTTTCAATATCCAAAAGGAAAAGAGAACAAATTTTAAAAAAACATGAGAGTCTTTATATATGAGTTGTTGGAAAGAGAGGTGATGGGTAAGGGACGAGAGGAAGAAGAACTCTAGTATCAACGTCTATGACACTGAAGAAACTTTTTAAAAGCCCTCCACAGCCTCTTCTAGGCATATGTCTTAAAAGACAACAGTAATTTTGTTTTGTTTGGCACTTCCACAGCATCTGACAAGAAGGCATCTAGAAAGGCTCTTCTGATTTTTGCTCCAAAAACACATGCTTCTCAGAAGTAAACTTGTTGTAACACGGGCAGCTTCTCCCGCCACGATACCCTGAGCAGTGGCATGCTGGGCGGCGAGAGGGAAGAGAACGGGCGGCCGCTCCTCCTGTGAGCTCTGCAGTCCCAGTTGTCAGTGCGGGGACAGACGGAGGTGACACAGGACTTGGGAGCAAACAGAACGGTTTTATTCAGTGAGCCCCAAGACCCTCTGGGGAGGGCGAACAAAGTTTTTATACAGGAACTCAGGAGAAGGGGTATAGGAACAGCAACCAATGAAGGCAGGGCTGGGGAGGAGTCTAAGGAGGGACTAACATAGCACAAACCTATCAGGGGAAACAGGGGAGGGGAGTAACACAAAATAACCAATAGGGTGTTGAGCCTCACTAAATAGACAGGGAATGGTCTGGAAGGAGGGGAGGGGACTAGGAGGAATGACAGGGAATGTTTTGGGAAAAGGGGCAGGGAAAGGGAGAATTGACAACTTGGAGAGGAGGGGATTAGGGAAGAGCTTGGGAAGATTGACAACTGGGGAAGGAAGGAGATTGGGGGGGGGGGTTGAACATACACAGAACAAATATCAAATTAAAGAAAAACACACCACAACATAAACTGTGTGATGATAAACCCTGAGAGATATCAAAAAAGCAGATTCCAGAAGGGGCTGCTTCGGGGTGAGGGTTAACTGTGTGACCACTGGAGCTGACTGCCTGTCTGGCATCAGCCCTTGGGAAATCATGCTTGAGTGACCTGGGTAAAAGCACCATCAATTTGGTATGCTCATTTTCCAGGTTCTCTACAATTTACTGGCAATAAAATAAAGTCCTCATTGAAGTAATTTTTTTTCCTTCTGAGAGCAAACATAGTATAAAACATGGTTTTGAGTGAAAAGCCTGAAGCCAAACAGTGACAGATTCCTTTT